TATCCATTGCAGTCCCATGGTTTAAAAGTTAATGAATAAGAGATTTGGTATAAAGAATAACTACCTTCACTCTTCTCTTAAAAACTGTTGAATTACAATAGAAATTTTCATAAACTTGATGTCAACATTTTAAGTTAATTGCTTATACGAAAATAGTCTCACCCTATGAAGAACAGCAAAGCATATTAAAAATAGTAGAGTAGATTTAATTCCAATACCATCTTAAACCGATCCATGGTTCCTGACATTATACCCCTCGATGCATCCATGCTGTTGCCCTGAATTTTCAATACGGTCCACTCAAAACAAAGCAAAACAGTTTTCACCATAGAAATTGATGTTTGAATCTGAATTAGCTGTACAATACCATTTGGTCAAGCAAACGATTATGACTCTCCACCTCCTCATGTACATCACCTGTTAACTGAAAATGAGAAAAAAACACATTAAGAAACTTAGTATAAGAAAATTTATCTTTAAGCCATAAGACTATGTTTTCCCTTCATTGTTCTCTCTTTTGGCTTTCCCAATAGGAGCATGCACATTTTTCATGAATCAAATGTTCCAACAAATCACCAATTTAATTCCTGCAGTGCAAGTACTTCCTATATCATTCATGGGAAAGTGTGCACAAATATACATAGGCTGTAGACAACTTTCAACTTTCAAGGAGTTGATTCTGTAAGATACAATTACTGAACAACTTCAGTGCCTGTGGAAACTGTTTAGATAGACATTTCATGAGACAAGTTCGTGTATATAATTGAATATGAAAGAAAATGATCTTATTGATTCAAACTTACTCTCTTCAGAAAAACAACTCTTTCTTTCAAACTGTCAAGTGCTTTGTCGTTGTCATGCTCATTAACTTCATGGGAGTATGAGGAGGAGGCCTTAAGGCCACCTTCCTCAAGGCCATCATAGTCATCAAAGAGAGATGCTCTGCAAGCACGGTGTTCTCTGCATAAAAGTGGTCATGATACAATTTCAATATCTACATAAAAAACATCATGCATATAATGAAAATTATCCAAAGATCACAGAGATTTAAGCAATTTTTTGCAGAATGAAAAGAAAAAAATTGAGCAAGAAAATCTTCTTATGAGCCTAATACCCATCTCAACCCCAGCCCACCCTGAACAACTTGTTCTAATGTCGTTCAAGACAGCATCTAAAGATTAAACCAAACCTCTTTTGAGCACTAAATAATGTAAAAATCTTTTGCATACAAATATATTATCAGAAACAGCAGTTATCATATCCATTTGAAAATGAAAGAAAACAAGTAATAAAGGAGACTATTGTCAGCTTCATTTATATACAAAGGAAAGTCTGCAGTAAGGACTAGATATCAAGGGTGAAAACAGCCACACATTCATGGATATTCTTAACTTTTTATGTGGAAGAAATATGAGGAAACAAAATTCTCAAAGATAGATCAGTGCTGCATCAATAATCAAGGAAAATTTTCAAGTTTTGGCAATTTTTGAAATTTAAAGTACTTCAACAAGTGTGACACGGAAGGGCCTTAGGCTAGTAAAATGAAGATCAGAAAATTAAAGACTTGCTCTTCAGTGTGGCTTTATGAGGGGCAAGTATAAACACTGTGAAGGACTTCTTTTGTAAAGAAAACTAAACAAGAACATGCACTTAATATTAAGGCAGTTCACTATTATTTTTATTTTAAATTTTATTTATTCCCATTTATTTATTTATTTACTTTGGGTCTTAAAAATGTGTAATGTCAGTTCCATTTCCAATTTTTTAGGACACAAAACGGAAAACCAGAGAATGTATAACTAAAAAATTGAAAATTCAGAAATGAAAGGATATCTGTAGAGGCGTATTCTAACATAACAAGTCAAAAGTGAAGATATGGATAGATTTTTTAACCTATTAATCTCAATACTTCGACTATGCATCGCCGGTTCAAGCATCACGGAAATTAACATCATCATATTATGAATAAAAAATTTAGGTATTCATAAAATTGTAAAGAGATTTACGATTAATCATTAAATGCAATGTATTAAACTAGCACAACTAAACATGACTTCTGAATTGTTAATCTATTGTTTTTAGAGCTCAAAAACCCTAGAAACCAATCAAACGTATCTTCGTAACGAATAAAACAGATATAAATGTAAATATGAACCAATCGAGATAGAAAATATAAAAAATAGATTTAACAAAATGAATAATCAAGTGAATTGATTCTATAGAATAGAACTGAAATGAAAAACAGATGTATGGAGAGTCACTGTTAACGAACCTTCTATAACTCATGATTTGTTATCAGCAGAGCTTCAGCTTCTCTGCTTCTGTGATTCCGCGACTTGTTACAAAATGTAATAGATTGGTCAACAACAAATTTCAAATAAGGTCCGTTTGGATGCCGAGAAAATGCAAGAAATAGGAAGGCAAATGTAAATTGTACTATTGAAATATTTGAATTTCACATGTTTGTTTGGCGGAAAAAGAGATCACAAGCAGTTCTCACAGAATAAAATAGGGAGCCGAGACTGAGATTTGATTCGGAGTTAAGTCATGGAGTCGGTGCCTAGCAGTTAGCACTCAGGTTTAAATTGTTGCTTAACGGCCAGGAGATCGACTAGAGTGAAGAAAACGTCGGTGGCCCATATGGCCCAAACTTTTTAGCCCATTATTACACAAGTTTTGTGGTGTACCTCAATCTTTTCTATGTACAGCAACTGTAGAGAAGGTTGAGACTTGAGTATGTTTAAGGGGGATAATTAGAAAGCAATTGGAATGTATTTAGTTGCAGGATCCTGAAGTTGGTTTTTTTAACCCCACCAGGCACTTATGACTCCAATGTTAAGTTTGGATTAATTTTGTATACCCTTGTATCATTGTTTAATTGAAGCATATTTAATTTTTCTGGAAACATAAAAAATCACTCAGTTGATGTATACTGAATGATAGGTAAATTCCTGGAAGTATTGTTCGTTTTAAGCCTTGAGACCTACACAGTTTTGTTCTGAAAAAGTGTCTTTGGGTGATGAAGGTGTCCTTGTGCTATACAAATGACCAAAACTCTCGTCTCCTAATCAAGGTTTTTTAAAAGTTTGGGTGTGCTTTAAATTAAACGTTCACACAGGATATATGAAATTGATTCAAGAAAGTTTAGATGGAAAAATTAAATATAAATCATTATTGATAGTGGATTAATGTAAAGTGTTTTTGTGTCTACTTTATAGTATATAGTACAATAGATTAATAGTTGTACAAAAGTGAAAGCACTTTTTTAAAAGGATAGTATTTGGTCAAAATTTAGTAGTTGTATATGCGATAGAATGGCAATAAGGCTTTAGAAACATGTGGTTGATGAATGAGGAAAGTAGTGAGAGAAGGACGAATAATAATTAGTACACCGTATACGTTCACTCAATACCCTCTTCTACCACCTGTCAGAGTGTTGAATGCCACGTGATACGCACCTGCTTCTCTTGCTGTTTCCTTCATTTTTAGTCTTCCAAGGAGCTATTTCACATCAACCTTCACCATCACCTAGTCCCACTGCCATCAATTATATTTCAATTTTTTCTGTACAAACATAATTACGCATCTCAAACCATTATCTTCCTGCAATTCTTAGTGAACTCCATTGCATATTTTAGTGTATTTCACTTCATATCATCAACCTATTTCATCTGCTAAACCAAGAGAAAAGGACTTTTCATTGCATATCAATTGAAATATAGATGGTTAATGTTTAAACTTGGGCACTTACTGGGTTGATTTCCATTAGGTAGTGAGCAATTAGTTTTCAGCTTCTCTCCTCTCCCTTATACCCTCGTTCCTGTCCATGGGAATTTTTCTATATTAATGGTTAGATTTGAGTTTTGAAGAATGCTATGTATCTTTAAATCTCAGTTTTGCATCTCCAATAAAGTTACATGAATTATGTGATTCGTAAAGTCTATTGTTTTATACTTATAGTTCTCCAAAGATGTATTTGCCTCCAACAATACACACTTAAACATGAGCCAAAACAATAAAAAGAAGGTTTGGAAAAAGAAACCATACAAATACAAACATCAGTTCTAATGTTCGATCATGAAATCCCAAACAATATGTGCCAGTGCCTGTAAAAAATGGCATAGGTACACAGATGTCAGGACTTCTGAATTTTTCTGGGGCTCACTAACAGCTGTATACCGAAATGAAAAGCTCATGTAAGGGTCAAAAAAGTGTGCATGTGATTCTAAAGTTCTGAATGATGAAGACTTAAATTTCATCTACATGATTAAGATATTGTTGTCACTACTTTATTCACACCTCGAGACACAAACCAAATTGCAATAATTTTTGTAACCTTCAAGAATCAGACTAATTTACTACATTCAATAATTCTGTTCTAGTGTGTAATTGAAAGTATTTATTCGGCTACAATGGACATGGTTAACTGCATCTAACATGTCTGGATTGGATCTAGTGACACCCTTGTTAGTTCAAGATACAACATTCATACCATAGCAGAAATAGGCAACTGTGATGGCCACCAGAATAATGTCCCTTGAGCAGGTAGTGATCGCCAATGAAGATTATCAAGATTTACTGCATATTCAAGCACACAAGAATAAGAACCCTCCTTCAAGTTTTGGATGGACAGAACCACAAGATGTTTTCTAAAATGTTCATACGATTAGTTATAATGATATTAAAATTACTACTAAGAGATGCAGTCGAAATGAAGTTCAACCAAAAAGACACATGGTTTGATATCAGCCTCATTCACATCACACATGCCCAGAAAGATGAAGAGTAATTTCTCTGTTCATAAAATGAAGTTGGGAATTTAATTTGCGTCTTTTCTCCGGATCAGTGAGGCTATTATCGTTCCATAATGTCCCATAAAGTACAGAATAACTATCAAGTTTGAACTAAATAGGAAATTTCTCTGTTCAAACTTAAATCTGGATAATTTCCATTGCCACTACTTAAAAAATTCAGTGCAGAACTCATAATCAACCACTAGACAAAATTAAGTCTATATTAGCCACAGCATTCATCAGTTTGGTACAGTATAATACTTATCTACAACATCGGTTTTGTATAAGGCAGTCAATCAAGAAGAACCAATCACCAGCAGAGGATCAATGTGTTTCCACAGAGAAGAATTAAATGTAGAAAAAGAAAACACATATTTTTCCAGAAGAAAAAACAATTATAAACAGAAATATAAACACATTCTACAGAGAAGAATTACACTTCTTTTCCATATATAACTGGAATTATATACTTCAGAAGTCAAAACTTCTCGTACCTTGCAATAAATTACATCACTCAACTCCGGTCTTCAATAATATAAATTCTAGTGTGTGCAAAGCTCAGATATTCACATTTTGTTAAATTATCATCTGTGTCTTCATACAAGTATCAGGAGTGGAGGAAGATGCTCTACATGACTCTTTAAGGTATACACATCCAACAATGTAATCAATTCAAATAAGAAGCGCCATACTGTAATTGCCACTCCATGCAGTCCTCAAAATCAAAACTACTGGCACAGTCTAATAAGGCATTTTGCTGTTGTTCGTAGCGACATATGTAATTCAAGCCAACAAGGAGCTCACAGATGGCTGCTTCTGTCTTTTTCCTGTCAGCAAAATATAGTGTATGCAGCAGCAGAACATTTGTCCGCGTCACAATTTGCTGTTGCTCGAAATTTCGTTCACTTTGCCACCTGATCATATTATGAGCCAGTGGGGCAAGCCACTTCAGTATCCCATCAAGGGTCTCTTTCCAATCATGGGCAAGTGGAGCATCATATATTGCCAAATTTTTGATGTAAGACTTGAGATTAGTCTTGAGAGACATTCTTAAGCTTGCAGGCAACATCTGATATAAATCATCCCTAGCTTCCTCGCCAACTAAATGAGGGTAACGAAGCAGCTTCTCTATGACAATTATGACATTTGCATAATGCAAGGCAAGAGCAGAACCACCCACAGTAGAGGGAGAAGCATATGCGGTCAATCTGTTTTTGGGGGCAAAATGAGCACCGTTTGTCACGCCACACATAGACTGTCTCTGATCTACGCTGAAAGGAACACTGATTTGACTCCGGACAAAAGAACCAGAATGAATTGGCTCTCTCTTTAAACTGCCATTACCAACACTGCAACAGCCTGAAATTTGACTACTTCGTTCCTCACAATCAATCCCATCATCATCAAACTTCGAAACTGAACTGCTTAAACTAAGACACTCCATAAAAAGCCTTCCAGGGCTAGCCCCACACGGAACGTTAAAGTCATTCACTCGACAAAATGCTACTTCACCTCTCTTTGAGTCAATCCGAGACTTCAAACTAATCTCCCTTTTTTCCAGTCCACCTTTCTCAATTAACCCTGAATGATACCCATTACTACTACGCCTGCTGAGACCCCGTTTCAATGGCCCTGAAACCACTTGGACGTGACCCGAAACCTGTCTGCATTCATCCTTCACCACAACAGAATGTTCCTCACTCAACCCAAGAATGTCCCTCTCTAAAGCAGTCTCCCCAAAAACAACACAAATCCTAGCATAAATTGTACAAACAGTCCGAGCTAACAACTCAACAACCTTATCACAAGTCTGATTCCAAAGCGAAATTTCCTTAAGATGCCTCACATCCTGCTTCTGCCAAATCAATTTCTGCTCAAACGCTCTACGACTTTCTTCATGCTGATTCTGTTGAAACTTCTTAGACGTTTGTTCCAACTCATTCAAAACCTCCAATTCACTATACAGATTGGCAGTTGCATTCACAAACCTCTCCATTTTCCTCACCATACTCTCCATATCTTTAACCAAAAACCCCAATTCTTTAACATCAATAACTCCAGTCATAACATCATTATAAACATGCTCAAATCCTTGTAAAGCTGGTTCACAACATTTCTTCCCTAACCTGGACACAACACTAGCAACCCGGTTCAAGTCATCCAGCTTCTCAGCTAAAGCAAGCTGAAGAAGATGATTTTGATCAGTTGAAACCAAGTACTTAATCCCCTCAGAGTTCAAGATCTCAGCTTTCAGCTTGGAGATCTCTGAATCTGTTAAAGATTTATGTAAATGAATAGTCTTTGACATGACATTAGCCACTTCAAAAGAAAGAATCCCAATGAAGTGTTTAGCTTCATGGCTTTTTGGGCTCTTTTTTTTCTTGGAAGAAGGTTCAAGAAGGAGAGCGTGTTTAAGATTGCTACTTACTTGGTTTCCCATCTTGAGTATCCAAGGTTCTGCCACCATTTCTGCTTAGAGATCTGAGTTGGGTAGTTGGAGATTACACTCAAAAAAACAAAAAGCTTTCTGCAACAATTGATTGGTGTTGGAGAAAGTAAGAACAACGTGCAAGAGGAAAAATGAAAGTGATGAAATAAAGGAAGGGCGTGAAGTGGGAATCAAAAAGAAGAGCACCAGTGTTGCAGAGAAGCTCTCATTGTGTTTGTGTTTGTGGGAATCACTATTTGAAACTATACTTGAGTTTTTGAGGGTTTTAAAAATTGTCTTCTGCTACTACCATTCAATGTACTTTAATTGAATTCTGTTGACTTTTTTATTTTCTCCCTTTAAAATGTTCGATCATGAAATCCCAAACAATATGTGCCAGTGCCTGTAAAAAATGGCATAGGTACACAGATGTCAGGACTTCTGAATTTTTCTGGGGCTCACTAACAGCTGTATACTGAAATGAAAAGCTCATGTAAGGGTCAAAAAAGGGTGCATGTGATTCTAAAGTTCTGAATGATGAAGACTTAAAATTCATCTACAGGATTAAGATATTGTTGTCACTACTTTATTCACACCTCGAGACACAAACCAAATTGCAATAATTTTTGTAACCTTCAAGAATCAGACTAATTTACTACATTCAATAATTCTGTTCTAGTGAGTAATTGAAAGTATTTATTCGGCTACAATGGACATGGTTAACTGCATCTAACATGTCTGGATTGGATCTAGTGACACCCTTGTTAGTTCAAGATACAACATTCATACCATAGCAGAAATAGGCAACTGTGATGGCCACCAGAATAATGTCCCTTGAGCAGGTAGTGATCGCCAATGAAGATTATCAAGATTTACTGCATATTCAAGCACACAAGAATAAGAACCCTCCTTCAAGTTTTGGATGGACAGAACCACAAGATGTTTTCTAAAATGTTCATACGATTAGTTATAATGATATTAAAATTACTACTAAGAGATGCAGTCGAAATGAAGTTCAACCAAAAAGACACATGGTTTGATATCAGCCTCATTCACATCACACATGCCCAGAAAGATGAAGAGTAATTTCTCTGTTCATAAAATGAAGTTGGGAATTTAATTTGCGTCTTTTCTCCGGATCAGTGAGGCTATTATCGTTCCATAATGTCCCATAAAGTACAGAATAACTATCAAGTTTGAACTAAATAGGAAATTTCTCTGTTCAAACTTAAATCTGGATAATTTCCATTGCCACTACTTAAAAAATTCAGTGCAGAACTCATAATCAACCACTAGACAAAATTAAGTCTATATTAGCCACAGCATTCATCAGTTTGGTACAGTATAATACTTATCTACAACATCGGTTTTGTATAAGGCAGTCAATCAAGAAGAACCAATCACCAGCAGAGGATCAATGTGTTTCCACAGAGAAGAATTAAATGTAGAAAAAGAAAACACATATTTTTCCAGAAGAAAAAACAATTATATACAGAAATATAAACACATTCTACAGAGAAGAATTACACTTCTTTTCCATATATAACTGGAATTATATACTTCAGAAGTCAAAACTTCTCGTACCTTGCAATAAATTACATCACTCAACTCCGGTCTTCAATAATATAAATTCTAGTGTGTGCAAAGCTCAGATATTCACATTTTGTTAAATTATCATCTGTGTCTTCATACAAGTATCAGGAGTGGAGGAAGATGCTCTACATGACTCTTTAAGGTATACACATCCAACAATGTAATCAATTCAAATAAGAAGCGCCATACTGTAATTGCCACTCCATGCAGTCCTCAAAATCAAAACTACTGGCACAGTCTAATAAGGCATTTTGCTGTTGTTCGTAGCGACATATGTAATTCAAGCCAACAAGGAGCTCACAGATGGCTGCTTCTGTCTTTTTCCTGTCAGCAAAATATAGTGTATGCAGCAGCAGAACATTTGTCCGCGTCACAATTTGCTGTTGCTCGAAATTTCGTTCACTTTGCCACCTGATCATATTATGAGCCAGTGGGGCAAGCCACTTCAGTATCCCATCAAGGGTCTCTTTCCAATCATGGGCAAGTGGAGCATCATATATTGCCAAATTTTTGATGTAAGACTTGAGATTAGTCTTGAGAGACATTCTTAAGCTTGCAGGCAACATCTGATATAAATCATCCCTAGCTTCCTCGCCAACTAAATGAGGGTAACGAAGCAGCTTCTCTATGACAATTATGACATTTGCATAATGCAAGGCAAGAGCAGAACCACCCACAGTAGAGGGAGAAGCATATGCGGTCAATCTGTTTTTGGGGGCAAAATGAGCACCGTTTGTCACGCCACACATAGACTGTCTCTGATCTACGCTGAAAGGAACACTGATTTGACTCCGGACAAAAGAACCAGAATGAATTGGCTCTCTCTTTAAACTGCCATTACCAACACTGCAACAGCCTGAAATTTGACTACTTCGTTCCTCACAATCAATCCCATCATCATCAAACTTCGAAACTGAACTGCTTAAACTAAGACACTCCATAAAAAGCCTTCCAGGGCTAGCCCCACACGGAACGTTAAAGTCATTCACTCGACAAAATGCTACTTCACCTCTCTTTGAGTCAATCCGAGACTTCAAACTAATCTCCCTTTTTTCCAGTCCACCTTTCTCAATTAACCCTGAATGATACCCATTACTACTACGCCTGCTGAGACCCCGTTTCAATGGCCCTGAAACCACTTGGACGTGACCCGAAACCTGTCTGCATTCATCCTTCACCACAACAGAATGTTCCTCACTCAACCCAAGAATGTCCCTCTCTAAAGCAGTCTCCCCAAAAACAACACAAATCCTAGCATAAATTGTACAAACAGTCCGAGCTAACAACTCAACAACCTTATCACAAGTCTGATTCCAAAGCGAAATTTCCTTAAGATGCCTCACATCCTGCTTCTGCCAAATCAATTTCTGCTCAAACGCTCTACGACTTTCTTCATGCTGATTCTGTTGAAACTTCTTAGACGTTTGTTCCAACTCATTCAAAACCTCCAATTCACTATACAGATTGGCAGTTGCATTCACAAACCTCTCCATTTTCCTCACCATACTCTCCATATCTTTAACCAAAAACCCCAATTCTTTAACATCAATAACTCCAGTCATAACATCATTATAAACATGCTCAAATCCTTGTAAAGCTGGTTCACAACATTTCTTCCCTAACCTGGACACAACACTAGCAACCCGGTTCAAGTCATCCAGCTTCTCAGCTAAAGCAAGCTGAAGAAGATGATTTTGATCAGTTGAAACCAAGTACTTAATCCCCTCAGAGTTCAAGATCTCAGCTTTCAGCTTGGAGATCTCTGAATCTGTTAAAGATTTATGTAAATGAATAGTCTTTGACATGACATTAGCCACTTCAAAAGAAAGAATCCCAATGAAGTGTTTAGCTTCATGGCTTTTTGGGCTCTTTTTTTTCTTGGAAGAAGGTTCAAGAAGGAGAGCGTGTTTAAGATTGCTACTTACTTGGTTTCCCATCTTGAGTATCCAAGGTTCTGCCACCATTTCTGCTTAGAGATCTGAGTTGGGTAGTTGGAGATTACACTCAAAAAAACAAAAAGCTTTCTGCAACAATTGATTGGTGTTGGAGAAAGTAAGAACAACGTGCAAGAGGAAAAATGAAAGTGATGAAATAAAGGAAGGGCGTGAAGTGGGAATCAAAAAGAAGAGCACCAGTGTTGCAGAGAAGCTCTCATTGTGTTTGTGCTTGTGGGAATCACTATTTGAAACTATACTTGAGTTTTTGAGGGTTTTAACTTTTAAAAATTGTCTTCTGCTACTACCATTCAATGTACTTTAATTGAATTCTGTTGACTTTTTTATTTTCTCCCTTTAAAGCATTACTGGCCCTTTTAAAAGTACCCGAAGCAATTATTTATTTATACATATCATATTTTGGAAACAGATTTTTACTGCAATTTGGTACGCATAGATTTTAATTTTTGTTTTAATAAATGTTTTTAGATATTTCCATGAAAATTATTACATTCGTTTTAGAGTTATTTAAATTAATATGTTAATGATAATTTAATTCTGCGTTGGAATGAAGTTAGAGAACATTCAAGGATTATTAAAAGAAAATTTCCAAGAACTGGACTTGGAAATTATATACACCTTTCTACAAGGGCTATCACATTAAAAAAAAAAAAAAATTCTGCATTTCATATTGAATAAGTCAACGAACACGCTGCAAATTCAAATCTAATTAACAAATATATTAATTAATTGAATTATAAAGTGTGAGAAATTATGGGTGGTTCTTTGAGGATTTGGTATCCATCCCCACTGCCAGGAAAGTACTATACAAAGAAGTGACGGGTGCCTGAGAATCTGAGACGAAGTGGGTTTGACCTAAGATTGCTTTAGGGTCAACAAAAATAGAAGCTACCAAACCAACTTTGACTTGAATCCAAAGTTTAACATATATTTGATACACAAACTAACCCATATATGAATAAAACGGGCATCAATTTTTGGCTAAAAATATTTATTTCTAAACCTAATTATATGATCACAACAATTGGTGGCAGACAATATTTGGTGCCAAATCTCCTCCCAAGTTTGGCATTTAGGGCTTTCCAGTCAAAGATTACACACTGTATTTGGTTACGTAATTCAAGCTCTTCTCTTGCATATTGGTTTAAATGATTCGATGGAGAAATCTACAAGTTTTAGTTTCCATTTCAAATTGAACAATCTTTGACGAAGCTAGCAGAGGGTGATTTAAGTTGTAACTTCTCCATCTCCCAACTCTTGATAATATTCAAGCAACCCCTAACCCCACGTCGAAGTTTCAATTCTTTTCTCCATCAAACAAAAAGTAAAAGAGTGAAAATTCTTTGTCCCATCTTTTAGCAAAGACTTTGGGTTAGATTTGTTGATTAATAATGAAGGGAAAAAGAAGTTATTATGCATGAAATTTTGACTAAAGTTGGGTGGAGTTCGTCAAAAGTTAACCATAGTGGGAGTTGGTGACTTGTTTTTTTCATAGACACATCTCACTTACTACTTGAGAGCCAAGACCATCCATATGTATTATTTATGGATAGTCACTCTGCAAAAGAGATAAAGAAACAATCACATAATGACAAAAAGAAAACACGAAAAACAAAAATTATGAATTGGCTTCTCTTCTTGTAAAATATGTACTCTGATCTCCCAAGAGAACGAAGGTCTAATCAAATCTATCAAATTATTTGATAGATATGTACATTAAAAGGAGTTGGGCGCAGCATCCCAATTGCTTATTTGTTGCTGCAGCTTCTTTAAAATTGTATATAAAATAACCTATAACTTATCAAAAATTTCAGCCCATAAATCATGTGGGAGCTCACCTTCCATCTTTCAAGGGAACATGCTAATAACTTCATGTGGGCACATGAAGAATCAACAGCTAGCTAGGAAAAGCCCCACGTTTCAGCCACTCACATCTTCACATACGCCTAAAAATCAAACAAATAAGTAGGCTTACAACTTAATATTCCTCTGTAATTTAAGATATTGGACCATGCTTGTTTCTCTTTCTAAGAGCTGCAAGTACACAACATTGGCTGTCTCTGCTGCCACTTTTTCAACTCATGGACCTCTGAATTTGGGTTCAATATTGTTGAAACCTCAAGTTTTGGAGGGATATCTTTATCTCATAAGGAAGAGAGGACCACGTTTTCAGCTTTTGCCTATAATTTTGTGTTTGTGTGTGCCTTTGATTCTTCTGCTCATCATCATATGAAGGTGCATGTGGAAGAGCCGTGGTCCATCGTGTATTTTTGCTTTCTCTCCTTTTTCTCAAAAGGGAAGTTTGCTATAATGATGAATCATCTATTGAGTGTCTTGTTTAGCTTTTTCAACGCATTATTATTAAGTAATACATCAGTTTATTATTATTATCATTGCTATGTTTCTTGAGATACCAAAGTTTATTTAATCAAGACATCATTAGTTCGAATATTAAGGTCAAATTCCTAGTTTAACTACAACAAAACAAAATTAAGGATATAAATATGATGGTGAGGAAGCTGTAAACAAATCCACTATGTAGAAGAAAAGGACATGCATGTTAATGGAGAGTGGAGAAGATAAATACGTAAAAGCATATAAAGGGGATTGGTTGATAGTTACGAATTCCCAGCATTCTGCATGTAAGTTTGTGTTTGGACTAACTTTTGAGATGAGAATAAATGGGTAAGGCTGTTGAATTTGCCCCACAATCTGCTTTTGTAATGCATAATCTAGTAATTGGAAAGTCCTTGTCGTGGAGAAGGTAGTGTTAATTTTTTCGGTTATATAGGTGTATCTTTTTGACAATTGAGGAATTATCATGCCTTTGATTTGTTGATACTCAATCAAGGCAATTTGTTTATTCAGAAATCTGTCGGTTTAAAGGATAAAGGTCTATTTCTTGTCTTGATGTATGGTTTTTTCCAACTATTTGTTCAACTGTAGCTTGGAGTCTCTGACCCCCACGAAAAACAAAAAAGTGCAGCCTAGCCTGCCCACATCAATGAAAAGGCCTAGAGGGTCAAGCAATGTCGCCCAGCCCAATAGGCCCAAGTGAATAAGTCCCAACGTCATGTTAACCCACCGATGAGGTTATGCGTCTTTCCATTCTTGAGGATCGACTCCTCTATGACTGATCTTCATTCTATACGCAAAAAAATCAAATGAATGTTTAGTTAAGTTTGGCTAGTCGTCAATGGAAGTAATGATTTTTCGTATACGTAAATGGGTTTTCTTCAACAAAGTTTAGAAGGTCTAGAGGGTTGCACCGTGTAACTGAAGTTATCAATGTTCACCAGAAATTGCCAAAAACACGTTTTCTTTCTCCTTTTATCGCAAATCAAGTGAAAGTAGTTGCACCAATCAAATCCTAATACATATATTATCTTGTTTTCAGCTTTCTTCTTTGAGAAATATAAGCTTGCAACAATAAGTGGGAACACCATTCCATTCCAACCAAATCCGTGTTCTTGTTTTCAGCTTTCTTCTCTTTCTTCTTTGAGAAATATAAGCTTGCAACAATAAGTGGGAACACCATTCCATTCCAGTGGGAACACCATTCCATTCCAACCAAATCCGTGTTCTTGGTTTTGAATTAAGCTGACTTAAGGAAAATACCAACAAGAGGACCTTTACAATTCTATTTTTGTTTTTATTACAAACTTCTGTGTTCATTATCCGCAGGACTTTTTCACGCTTAATTGGAATATATATATATATATTCTTAATCTATGTGTAGATGAGTAGACCTTTACAAAAGATGATGGAAAAGCCAATATATTATTATTTTCATTGCGGGCGTTTAAACACAAGAATTCAAGAAAGCATAATATTTTCTTCCGCGGGGCAAGCTATTGTTTTTTTTATCAGTTTTCTAACGACTTTAGCCGTGTTTCAATTCACAGCAATCAAGGTCGTGGAACTTCATTTTCACATGTAAAATAAAATCAGGTAGACTGTTGAAATTGCTGTTTCGAGTTATCTAGATTTTGAAACAGTCAACACCATTTAGGGTTTTTTCTTTGGTTGCTGTTTGTGTTTGCCAAATGGTCAGAAACCATTTATACAGCTTGCTCTGTCTTATACAAATATTCATAGCTTGAATTCATTTGTCTAAATAAGTTTTGAAAATTGAGACCGTGATTGCTCCGTCTTATTAAACAACTGATGGCGCTAGTGGTTTGGGTTTGAATTTCTCCACAATTCTTTGTCATTTGTAAATATTAAGATGAAAAGGAAGCATATTCAGATTACTGAAAGATTGAATTGACCATTATTTCACAATCATGGCATAAACTAGAGAAGGGAATGATTGACTATTTATTGGTAATGGAATGGGTACTGAAGAAGGAATCCCTTTTCCTTAAATATTGATAATGATACACCTTATGTGGCTCTGCATCTTCGCCATTTTAGTTTGACTGTTCAACCCTCGTGCTTCAAGAATCATACTTGAAGGTGCTGCCAAGTTTAGAGTTTTGATAAAATTTGAAGAAATATATTTAATTACAAATAAATAAATAAAAGGTCCAAGGCAAAATCCCGTCCAGGTTCGATTTGCTTTGGCGTATCTTGGTGAAGAGTGAGGTCCAATGACAGTATATTCATTGTATTCTGGTTAAAATAAAGTTGGGACCAAATTCCTTTCCCAATGAATATTGAAATCTGAAAACGACGAAGGCACCTGGACTGGGCCACTGTTGTGGATGAGACTAACAATGGCCATTGATTTCCGCATCGAATCTCTATTTCCTATGTATATGTCATATTATTTTATAAATAATATATTTCTTAAAAAAAGTCACTTTATGTTAATTTTTCACCCAAGCTTTTAAGCTTTGCCTCTATCTGGGTGTGAGGATCAGATCCACCAATTCATAGATATTGTCGCCACTCAATTTTATTCATTTATTGACTGTGTTTGCGACAAGGTATAGTAATAGTGGAATCTTTGTATTTTAATCCATATAATTCTAATATTATTAAAATTTTATGGTAAAGTTTGTCAAAAGTGTGACGACATGGTTTGTTTGATTTAGCCATTGTAATAGTCTCCNTAAATAATATATTTCTTAAAAAAAGTCACTTTATGTTAATTTTTCACCCAAGCTTTTAAGCTTTGCCTCTATCTGGGTGTGAGGATCAGATCCACCAATTCATAGATATTGTCGCCACTCAATTTTATTCATTTATTGACTGTGTTTGCGACAAGGTATAGTAATAGTGGAATCTTTGTATTTTAATCCATATAATTCTAATATTATTAAAATTTTATGGTAAAGTTTGTCAAAAGTGTGACGACATGGTTTGTTTGATTTAGCCATTGTAATAGTCTCTAATTTGGCATTATTAATTTGGGTAGTTCAACAGTGTTGCGTTTCCTTTCAATCAATTCAATTGATTCATTCAATACATTTATTTATTTATTTATCTTTCGAGCTACCAATCAGATCTCTAAGAGTAAGAGATCATAATTGCCGCTCCTTTAGGACCTAAAACCACACGATTAAAAACTCTAATGGCTATACCCTATTCAATACATTATCAAGGTCATGGGAATTTGAACTTGGAAAACCACTTAAGATTTCATCTTCTTTTATTATCATCATCTATTTTCACTGACCTAATCAACTATACAATATAATCTTAGATTTCTTGTAGTTGAATATGAAAAGCAATATCAATGGCTAAAAGTGCCTAAAACTAATGCAATGATCCCAGATTTACCTGTAATTGATCAATTATTTTCATTACTAGACCTTCAATCATTTTCTTATCAGTTATGAACAAATAATATTATGGAAGAAGTTAATTATAATAAAAAAAAAAAAGATAAAAAGAAAAACACTACATATACAATGAGTTAAGTCCCGTGCATGTTGTTCACAAAGTAAACCCAACACGCACGTACACCGTTAGATTCGTCTACCATCTACTTTTTTTGACCATCCTAATTTTACCGGCTATACAGGCACAGAAAAGAACGGCTTTATCGGAGTCTTTTCGTAACAGAATGGAGCCGCCGGATGCTGCCACTTCTTGAACACCGGCTTTTCGCCTTCCGTCCGTTGCTCTTGCCGTGAATCCGTCCGTGATTTAATCTCAGCGGCCACGTCAATCGATGTCGGTGACGAGGCAAGTGGTGATAGGAGTGGAATCGCTACGTTCCAAGTGGAGACGGGACTGATTTGCAGAGAAGCCGGGCGGCGACGCTGGAGCCGGCTTGGCTGGGTGCCGGTTTTACTTCTGGATGATTCGGCCATAGAAAAAAAAAGATTTTGTATTAATTGTTTTAGATTTGATTTACAGAAGAAAAATGAAGAAGGTGAGAGAAAGAATGAGGAAGAAGGTTTATATATAAGAGTGGGTAAGACTAAAGAAGGCACGTGGTGTACACGTTTCTAAGAACAGAAAGCATCTAATATACAATGAGCTGTCACTGGCTCACAGCTCGAGTTTGGAGCCGATTATTTTTTATGCTGGAATATTCTGTTTCTAAACTTTTTTTATTATTATTTTATTTTTATTCTATTGATTCATTTTTCCAATTTTCAATATGAGCTTTCTTACTAAATAAATATTTACCACATTCCCAATTTAAAATAAATAATACATTTTTTTCTATTGAATAAAAAAAAAAATCACTTATTATTAAGTTCTTAAAGTGATAATATTTATTTATAAGATAAAAACTAAAAAGGTCTACACATTTATGTTGGGTACATAATATTCTAATAAATATTTTGTTTTCCATATATTTAAAAGTACTTTATCTATCAATAATAATTTAAATTTTACTGGTGAAAGTATGAAAACTAAGCACTGAGAATAGGTTAATTAAAACTGGAAGCTTTTGGTGTGACGGAGTGGTTTAATAGAGATTTTTAGATGTATTATTCAAAAAGTTTTAAGTTAAAATCTCTCTTACTTGTTAATAAGAATAATTATTAGAGCTCTTATTCGTTTAATTTTAGGTTTTGGGAGAGTTTTTAGTTGATTGATAGTTTCAAGATTTCTAAAAATTAATTGAGACGTACATAAATTAATCCCAATAGCTTCGATTATAAATAAATTTAAAAAAAAAAAAAAAAAGGAAGCCAAGCTGAGGTTGTGAAGAAACAAGCTGGTGAAGACAGGAAGGTAAGGGAAGCGTATGAATAATAGGGTCAAAGAGCTAGTTGGATGCGTTATTTGACTAGACTCAGTAATCATAAACAACGATACCATTCACAAAACCCCACTTCACTTTCACCGTCCCCAATTCTATGGGCCCATTTCTTAACTTTTAGTAATTCATACACCACCAGATTTTGACCCCACCCACCATCACCCTTTTAATTAACGTTACATGATCTATGACATTTTAACTTACTATCAACCACCACCCCTCCGATCTCATCTGACGCTTTCACATGCCATCTACACACACGTGTCTGGTCTGCATTTGTTGTTATCTTTTATTGTCGTTTTGTTGAATTCTGTACTGTCCACAGCTAATTTACAGGTAGGTTTGGTTTGGGTTTCAGTCAAGGATAGAACCGTCAAATCGAAGAATTCAACGTAACGTTCAGTTGTTGATTGTCGTTTTTGTTTTGTGGAGAAAGGTCTGAAACAATTAACAGAGCCCTGATGATCTAAACTCTTCAACTTCTCGTTTACTAAAAGATCCGTTTTTAATAACAAGAAGGATTCAAGAGTTCCGTTGCAGCAAATTGATGGTAAAGGTTGAAACCTTTTCAGAAAAAGGATATCAAAGGCAAAGAGATGACGTACCCTGAATAGATATTTGTGCCGAATGAAAAAGAGATGAAGAAATCTTCTGTTTCTGTTGCAGTCACGCTACTGCCACTGTGCAAGAAGAAGGAATCTTTTTATGCATATATTGAGGAAAAGGAAATATGTAAATGGTGTACAAGGGAGAATAGTTGAGTAGGACAGGTAGGTACTGAGAGCCCATTAAATTTTGTTTAGAAGAGATGGGGTTGAACTGAGAACACCTCAAACCAACACAGCAATACAGTTAAAAAGATAATGGAGGGTGCACTTAAATTCAGCTATTCAAGAGACTTGAGAGGTGGAGGATAGGTCAATATTAATGAGTTCAACTATGATACTGAAAAAGCTATTTAATTCAACTCCCCTTGTATTTTTATTAACAGACATAGGCTTATTTTATGGGGTCGTACTATTTGAGCCTGAACCAGTCTCATCTATTTCTTCAAAATTGAATTAAAACAGTGCTCAGCTCACTCCACTCCCTCCTTTCTTTTGCTCAGAATTTATGTAACTCCTGGCCCACTGCTAGCCCAACACTCAGTGGCGAACCAGAATTTTTGCTTTGGGGCAATTAGTAAAAACTGAAAAGAACCACCAAACTTTAAACAAATAAAATAATAAAATATTAAAAACCTAAAAGAAAATAACGCAATCTTTTTTTACTTGAATAAATATATTAAGTAAACCTTGAGCAAAATCTTTCTTTTATTAATTTCAATAATTATAATATAAATTTTTATGACTTTATCATATGATAAAGTCAACCAAAACTTAAATTTACTTTTAATATGAATTAAGATGGGGCGGAGGGGGATTTCTTAGTATAAACATAGATACTAACTTAAATTTCCTTAATAATTTTGAGCAGGAACGGTGATATTTGAAACGTAAGAAAATAGTGGATGAAGGGTGATGAATTATGTCTTTTAAACTATAGTTAAGACTTTAATTTGGAAAAACAGGAACATTCTTAGACACAAAATACAACAAAATCACAAGATCCATGTCTTTTTCTCTCAAATTAGAATAAAAAACCTTTAAAAAAATAAGCATGATTCAACCCTAAATAAAGTAAATTGAAATGAGTAATACACATACCTAAAACTAATAAAACAAAAAACAGAGCTAATTGTAGCACCTTAGTAATGAAAACTTCAACAATTTTAGTTTTCAAAAGTTTTAAGAGTGAATGCATGAGAAAACGAAAAAGAGAATAAGAGAGTAAAGAAGTTTATAGATAAAATCATAAAAAGCACATTGAACCGTGGAGAAGAAGAGTGGAGAGAGTTTTAAACTTTTAATATGATGTGAGCTTGGAATATATATATGAATAGTGAGTTTTTTGTGGCATTGGATATATATATATATATATATAGTTCTCTTAAAAAAAAAAAAAAAAATCTGAGAGTAAACTTAAGTATATACATTAATATCAATTTTTTACGGGCTTATATTAATAATTTTTTAAAAAATCTAGCATATCCTCAAAGAGGCTAGATCTGCTTCTGTCAACACTGTCATGATATTATCCATTGTAGAAGTCTAGGTGGCCTAACTGCAAAACCAAACACCTCACAATTTTGTTTTCAGGTCCAGAAACTTTTGTTTTAGGCCTACGCCTCGACTATTGGTGAGTTCCCTTGGTATTCAACCAGCTGAACCCCTTCCTCCTAAACCATGTAAGATGTCTCAATTTATCACGTGTTGGATACTTTATTAAGTCAAGTAATTATTTATAGCATGAATACCAAGAAAAAGAAATTTAAATATGAATGAAAAGGGTTTCTTTAGAACTACTGCGGGTTTATTTAAATATATACATAATTCTACAAGTTTTAATAAGAGATATATGTATCCTACCCCTTGTATGCATCTCTTTTTATTTACGATTTTACCCATTTAAATATAGGATGGTTTTTTACATAATGGGGTTTTGTAAACTGATTGAACAAGACAATTTAAAATGAGTAAAAAGACAACCCGATTAAATTTGAACGCTTTTTTGTTTCTCTTGCCTTTCCATACTGCTAATTATAATTTGTTTGGGCTAAAATATTCTCTACCTTACTTTTTTTTTAATTATGTTGTGTGTGGTTTTTCGTCAAGCTCGGGCCAACTCGAGGATATAGCTCGATCCAGAATGAGTTCGACAACTACGATTGATCAACCTAGCATAAACTAGTAGCGAACAATTCAAGAAATCATTCAGTCAATCCCCGTATTACTTCAGATCTCAGATATTGTGGGAATGACTGGATTAACAGTGATCATTGTACAATCACAATGCCCAATCGCTAGGATATTTGAATTATGGTTCAAATCAGTTGTAATCTCCTGAATTTCGTTTCTTTCTTTGTACAAATCTTGAATATAAACCCTCCTCAGACAATGAGGAAGGGGTCACGAATTTCAAATAAGAATTGCATTGTAAGCTCTCACAGCAAATACAAAAACACAGTGGACGTAAGCTGTTAACCTGGCCAAACCACTTTAAAAATCTCTTTATTTTTAGTTCATTTAATTTATATTCATCGCTGATTATCATTAATCATGCACACATCGGTTCTGATTAGGGCTGCAAAAAAAAAAAAAAAAAAAAAGGAAACCGAACCGAGAAACCGGTAAACCGATTTAAAAAATTTGCTAAACCGGTTTTTTGGTTTGGTTTACGATTTATATTATTTTTGTAACCGGTTAACCGAAACCAGTTTAATAAACCGATTTTCCTATAATCCTAATATAATAATATTATTTTAATTTTTAAAAATCTTTATTATCTTTATTAGTTTGAATCCCTAACTTCACAATCATACTCCTTCTTTCAAACTCCGGTAGCCGCCGCTGCCCTCTCAAAGACTCAAACTCGTCTTCTTCTTCATTACATTTACTCGTCTCTCCTCCAGTCCTCCTCCCGTCCTCTCCTCTGAAACTCGCTTGTTTTCTCCGTCTTCTTCTTTCGAATGAAAAAGAGATGAAGAAATCTTCTGTTTCTGTTGCAGTCACGCTACTGCCACTGTGCAAGAAGAAGGAATCTTTTTATGCATATATTGAGGAAAAGGAAATATGTAAATGGTGTACAAGGGAGAATAGTTGAGTAGGACAGGTAGGTACTGAGAGCCCATTAAATTTTGTTTAGAAGAGATGGGGTTGAACTGAGAACACCTCAAACCAACACAGCAATACAGTTAAAAAGATAATGGAGGGTGCACTTAAATTCAGCTATTCAAGAGACTTGAGAGGTGGAGGATAGGTCAATATTAATGAGTTCAACTATGACACTGAAAAAGCTATTTAATTCAACTCTCCTTGTATTTTTATTAAAAGACATAGGCTTATTTTATGGGGTCGTACTATTTCAGCCTAAACCAGTCTCATCTATTTCTTCAAAATTGAATTAAAACAGTGCTCAGCTCACTCCACTCCCTCCTTTCTTTTGCTCAGAATTTATGTAACACCTGGCCTACTGCTAGCCCAACACTCAGCGACGGACCCAGAGTTTTTGCTCGGAGCCCTTCCTGGCGCGTCATTGTTTACCCAACAATTAGAAATTTTTTTAAAAAATCACTAAACTTTAAGTTAATAGAATAATAAAATATCAAAAACCTAAAAAGAAAAAAAATGCAATGATGTAATATTTATGAAAAGTAAATTTTGGAGTAAATCTTAAGCAAAATCTTCTTTTTTTTATTATTTTTTTAATTTTTAGCTTCTAAAGATTATAATATAAATTTTCATGATTTTATCATATTTAATCTAAGTTAAAGTCAACCAAAACTTAAATTGACTTTTAATACAAATTTATTAAAAAAATGGTATTAACATAGATAATAACTCAAATTTCTTTAATAATTTTGAGCAGTTGAACGGTAACGTTTGAAATGTAAGAAAGTAGTGGGTGAATGGTGAAGAATAATGTCATTTAAACTATAGCTAAGGTTTTAATTTGGGAAAGCAAGAACATTCTTAGACACAAAACACAAAATAAAATTACAAGATTCATGTCTTTTTCCCTCAAATTAGAATAAAAAACCTTCAAAAAACAAGTATGATTCAACCATAAAATAAACTAAATTGAAATGAGTAATACAAATACCTAAAACTAATAAAATAGAAAACAGAGCTAATTGTGGCACCTTAAGTAACGAAAGTTTCAACAATTTTAGTTTTCAAAAGTTTTAAGAACGAATAACATGAGAAAAATAAAAAGAGAATGAGAGAGTAAAGAAGTTTAGTGATAAAATCATAAAAAGCACATCGAACCGTGGAGAAGAAGAATTGAGAGAGTTTTAAACTTTTAATATGATGTGAGCTTGGAATATATATATTAATAGTAAGTTTTTTTGTGGGCATTGGATTAGGGGTGTTCAAAAGTGGTTAACCGAATCGGTTAACCGCTTTTCTAAACCGAACCAGATTTTCAGTTCGGAAAAATTCCTGAATCGAAACCGAACCAGTTAACCGTTTTAAAAAAAGCGGTTAACCGGTTTTGAACCGATTTTCTCTTTTTTTTTTATAAAACTTTTTTTTTTTTTTAAATTTTGTCTTAAATTAAATTGTAAATATAGACAATACATTGGGAACTAAGAAAAAAAATTTGGGTTGGGATTTTAGATTGAGTGAATTAGGGATTTATTTTAGTTTAGGTTATTATTTATTTATTTAATATAATATATATATATTTGAAAAACCGGTTTTCGGTTAACCGTTTCTAATTTCTCCTGAACCGGTAACCGAACCGAATATTCGGTTTTTTGAATTTTTTGAACCGTAACCGAATCGTTTTTTCGGTTCGGTTTTTGCATTTTTTTGAACACCCCTACATTGGATATATGTATAATAGTTCTCTTTTAAAAAAAATTTGAGAGTAAACCTAAATATATATATTAATAACAATTTTTTGTGGATCTATATTAATAATTTTTAAAAAAATCTAGCCTACCCTCAAAGGGGTTGGATCCGCCTCTGTCAACACTGTTATGATACTATCCGTTTTGGAAGTCTGAGTGACCTGACTTTAAAACCGAACCCCTCATAGTTTTGTTTTCAAGCCCAAAAACTCTTATTTTATGCCCTAAACACGTCTTGACTATTGGTGAGTTCTCTTAGTATTTAACCAGCTAAGTCCCTTCCTCCCAAACCATGTGAGATGTCTCAATTATATCACTGGCGTTGGATAATTTATTAAGTCAAGTAATTATTTATAGCATGAATACCAAGAAAAAGAGATTGAAATATGAATGAAAAGGTTTCTTTGGAGCTAGTGCGGGTTTATATAATACATAATTCTACAAGTTTTAATAAGAGATATATGAATCCTACCCCTTGTATGTATCTCTTTTTATTTACGATTTTACCCATTTAAATATAGGATGGTTTTTTACATAATGGGGTTTATAAACTGATTGAACAAGACAATTTAAAATGAGTAAAAAGACAACCCGATTAAATTTGAACGCTTTTTTGTTTCTCTTGCCTTTCCATACTGCTAATTATAATTTGTTTGGGCTAAAATATTCTCTACCTTACTTTTTTGTTAATTATGTTGTGTGTGGTTTTTCGCCAAACTCGGGCCAACTCGAGGATATAACTCGATCTAAAATGAGCTTGACAACTACGATTGATCGACCCAACATAAGATAGTCATGAAAAATTCAAGAAATCATTCAATCAATCACCAGATTACTTTAGATCCCAGATATTGAGGGAATGATTGGATCAACGGTGATCACTGTGCAATCACAACGCCCAATCGCGAGGATATTGGAATTATGGTTCAAATCAGTTACAATTTTCTGAATTTTGTTTATTCCTTTGTACAAATTTGGTATATAAACCCCCCTCAGACAATGAGAAGGGGGTCACGAATTTCAGATAAGAATTGCATTGTAAACTCTCACAGTAAATACAAAAACACAGTGGATGTAGGCTATTAACTTGATCAAACCACTTTAAAAATCTCTTTTTTTTAGTTCATTTCATTCATATTTATCGTTGATTATTACTAATCACGCACACATCAGTTTTGATTTCGACAAGATCAATCAGATATCTGGTTGGTTCAAATTTTTGTACCAACAAATTCTATATGTAAGTCGATTTCAATTTTTAAGAATGGGGCTTCATAGTATTTATTAGAAGGTGCCGTGGCTCAGGATTTCTTCTCAGTCGACTAGTCATTTAAATTTGAGGTTTTTCAGGGACACCCTTGAGGTTTACTGAAAGAAACCATAATTTTCATAATGAAAACTTATATCCTTGTAGTCTCAGTACAATACTTACAAACTTATAATTGAATGATGTTTGTAAAAAGTAACTATCATGAGAATAAAATATATGACACAATATAAAACAAGTATTTTATTTCCCAAATTTTTTATTGGATTGTCTATTTAATAATTTGATCATATGATAAATGTTAGATATTAACTTTTTTTTTTTTTTTTTGTTATTGAGGAAAAGATAAAATAAGAATATATTAGTTATTGTATCAAGATTCTGTAGTCGAATTAACTTTTCATATTGTTTGTTAATTGCAAAGATGTACGTGTTCCATTATGAAACTACAAGGATGTAAATGTTCAATTCTAAAACTTATAGGTCTCATTAAATCTCAAGGGTGTTCATAAAAACCTCTGTAAAATAAGGATCATTTCTTTTGTTTTTCCTTGAATTTTTATTATATTTAATATTTAAAAAATGATTATTTAATAAAATGATGAACCACCGGTCCACCAATGCAATCTTATTCGGTTCCTTGATATTCACGACGGCTCCCATCCCCTCTATTTGGCAAGATTAAGAAAAACCCAAAAAAAAAAAAAATGTGTACCCTGGAGAAACACGGCAACGTTTTCATCTTGACCTTAACTGGTTCCTCCGATCTAGACGAGCACCGGTTCAGTCCACGCGTGATCGACTCCATACTCTCCGCGCTCTCCCAAGCCAAAGCTCAAGCCACTCCCGGGTCGATTCTTGTCACCACTTCTCATGGCAAATTCTTCTCCAACGGTTTCGACCTCGCCTGGGCCCAAGCTGCCGGCTCTAGAACCGGTGCCCGAGAACGTCTCCACCAGATGGTCGAAGATTTTAAGCCCGTTGTAGCAGCCATGATCGCTTTACCCATGCCCACCGTAGCCGCCATCAACGGCCATGCCGCTGCCGCCGGCTTCAGTTTGGCTTTGAGCCACGACTACGTGCTGATGAGGCGTGACAAAGGCGTGCTGTACATGAGCGAGGTGGATATCGGGCTCACTTTGCCTGATTATTTTGTGGCTCTGTTTCGGGCGAAGATTGGGTCGGCTTCGGTTCGGCGCGATATCTTATTAAGGGCCAGGAAGATCAAGGGAGAGGAGGCGGTGAAGATGGGGATTGTGGATTCTGCGCATGATAGCGTGGAACAGGTAGCTGAGGCTAGCATGCGCCTGGGGAAGCAATTGGCATCCAGGAAATGGAGTGGTGAGGTGTATGCGGAGATAAGGAAGAGTTTGTATCCGGAGCTATGCGGCGTTCTGGGATTGGCTCAAAAAGTGGTTTTGGCCAATTCTAAGCTCTGATGATCATCTCAAAAGTGTTTTGGATTAAATAATTAATGACGTCCAAGAGATTGGGTTACAAAAGAGATTAGATAGTTGATTGATGTTTTTATAATAAAGAAATATTTGAAGCTTTGGAAGTTTATCATTGCAATTGTTCATCATCTTTACTCTTTTAGTTTTTCTTGGTTTATACACTTCTTCGAAAAGGGTATGTTATTGAATCTTGCTAATGTTAAAGTAGTACTGAATTAGTTATAAATATAAAATGGTTTAAGTGATAGTTGCAAAAGGTGTTTTCACAGTAGTAAGTAATTTCCAAGTAAATAATTGTTTGGTATAGAGATAAAAAATGATCAGCAGATCAGGAAAACTTTATATTATAGAAATAGAGAAAGTTCCCAGCAGAAAAAACATAGAGAAAGATACTGAGCCATTATCCCCAAAGATTGCAAATGAAATTGGACATCTGTTGTAAATGGTTTTTCAATGGAATGCCACTGTCTTAAATTTGGTAAAGTAAGGTTAAATGTATTAATATAGAGATGCAGGGTCGGCCAAGCGAGCCAACCCTATAAGGTTCCACAAATTATGTCGGCCATATGTCTTGATGGCCATACGGCACTCACCGAACTAGGGCGAGTGTGGCATACTTAGCCAACCGACCCTTTTAAGTTTGTAAAGAATTCAGTGTATAATTTTATAGTAAGCTCTTTCTTTTCACTTTTATTGCCTTTCCAATGTGGGATGTTTTTGTCTATGTACATCTAAAACATAGAAACTTGAAAGTTTTATTTTTGAATAGGCCATGTACAATTCTCAAATTGTGGAAAGAAATTGAGTAAAGTGGTTTGCGAACGATCTATCAAGGGAATGATTCTTGTTTCAATAGCAAGGATGATGATCTATTTCAGCATCTGCCCCAGAATGGCCCTTGGGTAGAATTTGCAATACCATATTAAAGTACAATCCCCAACTTTATACATTATTTCACAATTAAGCTTATGAGCTATAACAGAAACACAAAGAATTTTGACTGTAATGGAAATACACCCTGAAAAATGGTGGTGGCAGTGTGATTTTGTTTATTCAACCGTAGTACTCTACTACTGAACAACCTTATATCTAAAAAAAAAGATGTAAAACCTTCTTAGATCTAATTAAAATGTGAGAAACCCACGAACTCCTGATCCCGAGATAACGCCACGGAGGCAGTTAAATCATTCGGGGATAACTGGAGATATCAATTATCAAATATTGCATGCAAGGAAATTACAAATTTCTGTAAGCTTGACTAATTTCATCGGATAGATAGCATTATGTAAGCTATGGTCAAGAATTTGGTACTTTACATCAACATATGCCAAAATACTTGAGTGCCGTTTGTCAGCTGTACAATCTAAAACTAAAACAAGAAATCAAAGCACCGACTCCTGAAGCACAGTATTATCAGTTGATTCAGTCCCTAGAATCTTGAGGTAATAGCTACAAAATCAGTATAAAATGTCGTTAAAACAGCATGTTTAACAGCAGGAAGAAAAACTAGTTATACAAGTAATATTAACAGTTGAATACAAAGAAAGTTCTGCAAAAGAATACATTGAAGTAGGAGAAATACCCCTAACATTGGCATTGATTAAAAAGTTATCAAATGTGAGACGGAACACCGACTTCTGGATGCTGCAGTATGGAAAACCGAATCGATTCAAGTGTAGAGAAAAACATGGGAGAGGGTAGAGAAGAAATTTCTTTTGGCATAGCACCTGAATCAATTTGTTTCTTCCATACGTAACTTAATCAATGCCACTTCCCCCAAAAGCAAGTGATATTAGGGGTATCTCTTTTTAGGATGTATACAATTTCTTATTCAATATGTTTTTGTCAAATAATGATGGAAAAAAGATTAAATAAAAAAACTGTGAATGGAAATGGTTAAATGGTTAAAACATGCACCAAATGTTCCAACTGTTGATGCTATGATTATGGATTAGAAAGTTTTACTTGAAAGCTCTCAATGGAAGTGGGCTTCAGGCTGAAACTGGAACATAATTTAAGAGGTACATTTTGTATTACCTTTCAGGAATTTATATAGCACATTGCTTGTGCTTGAAGAAAATAGGAGTCTTTGTACTTTCTGCCACTTCCAATGTGAATCCCATTACGAATCCAGTCCTCGCGATGAATCCAGGCATCCCTGCCGAAGTCGAGAATTCCAAGAATCTGTCATGGACAGAATATGAACTACATTAGCAATCATAGAGAAAACCAGGAAAACAATATTTCAAATGGGAATTTGATTGTTGGAGTGTACAGAATATGGAGTTCACTCAACAATTAATGACACTTTATAAAGTTGAGAAAAGTAATATACACATATGCTATTGAACTTCATTAAATAACTGTTCAGATTAAAATGAGTTCAAGAAAAAGATGAATAAACCAAAAAAAGACACAAAAACCTGAGGCTTGAGAGCAAGTATAACATCTAATTCCCAATCACAACAATGTACTATTTTACATATTAATATGTAAATAATAAACATGATATATTTTGCTAATTGGATGTCCACTGCAGTTTCATGGTACGGGCAACACAATTGTCTTGGTCCTTTCATCCCTCTTTTTGAAAATAAAATGACGCTATACATATCATATTTTATGTGGTCGAATTTCTGCTTATGTAAAATCACCATAGAAGTACTTCAGATTTTTCTAATGGACATCAATAACAAAAATCAGTTGGAAGACATGGAATATAATTACAACATAACATAATGGTAATGAGATCCAACTTACAGCTCCGCCTTTCCAAGACACATAAGTAGGATTTGTTCTTGACTGCAACACCTATTTTACATACATCAAGGTTAGACAATGTCAAGAGTTAGCGTCAACTGAAGCAAAATAAGAAAACTTGTGACCAAAATCCAATGATGAGTTTTAAAACAAAGAATTTGAGATCCATTATCCAATGATGAGTTTTAAAACAAAGAATTTGAGATCCATTATCCAATGATAAGTTTTAAAACAAAAAATTTGAGATCCATTAGTAAGACAATTACTTACCATAAACTCATTAAAGTATTAGGTAAATCAACTTAATAGCATGCTAGCTCCTAATCAGACTTTCCATGTATGAAACAATTTCCTTAAATGCTAAGTATTCTTCACATACTATAGACCTTATTGAAGATTTCATGTTTCATCTGTGTCCCCATTAATTGAAGCACGAGAGAAACCACACAAATTCTGAGAGTAACACAGAAGATTAAAACATATGATGATGCCCCAAGATACCCTATTACTCTCAATAATCTATCTAAAATTTAAAAATAAAATAAAAAAAGGGATTGTAATATCCAACAGATCCTTAAATGATATTCTAATTTCTTCCCTTAGAAACATAATGGTTTAGCAAGAAAAACAATGTGCAAAATAGATGGAAAGTTAACATTTCCGCTCATTTATTATGCATATAATGAATAGCATTAATTTATCTTAGCAAATTAAAATTTAGTATATAACAATGATACGAAACATGCATCCCAAAAAGAACAGTACAAAGTGCATTTGCACAGCCCAAAGTGAGCTATCTAAGGGGAAATAAGAAGCAAATGCTAAGCATCAATGTTCGACCAGACCAGATATCATCTATATTGTTTACCAAAACCAAAAAAAAAAAAAAAAAAAATGACATCAACTTTAGTACGAACACAAAGATAAGATATGTAAACTAACCTCAACCATATCAATAGCTTCATTTGAAGGAATCGCATGTAAAACTCTGCAAGAAGAAATGGTAAATGAGATTCATTAAAATAATTGTAGACTGTTGGCCTCATACAAGGAATTGAATTTATCCACTATGTTTCACAAAGAATTAAAAGTTTTGTCTCTTTCTTGATAGTTGTTTAAAACATAAGCAATTTGGGACTAGAATCTCAATAATTGATGACATTTGCATCATTCTCTGATTATCATGCCAGTGGATTAAGATGCACCGAAAATATAAATTCTCCTGATAAGTTATAATAGTTCCTATGCAAATATCAAATTCAATCAAATAGAGATAAATAAACCTAAAATTTACCAGGTTACTACTTAATTCCATGTACTAAAATAAAGACGGAAAAGACCATGGTTGAAGATGCCACAAGATCTACAATGAATATTTACAGTACTGGCACTAAAGAAAACACGGTGCATCATCTTAGGCACACAAAGTAATATTTCAAAAACTAATAAGCTAGGCCAATACATAGTTTAAACCAATCAGTGTAACAATTCTTCAAGTTTGCAGTACAAATGCATTACTCTAAGATATTGTTGGCTGAAAGTATAGCAATAACTGCTGCTGCTATATCTTTTATTCTTAATAATGATGCAATACACAATATCCAACTCACGGCTAGTGTTATAAAATTGCTCCTACTATTAAGAAAACAAACCCAATCCTACTTCCACCTCATGTTAGATCAGGTGTTGGAGTTATGGATAGATTTTGGTTCAAATATATGAAAACGATATAGTATTAGTTGGCTTCTGATCAAATGTTGGGTAAACCAATTGAATCCAAGAACCACACCTGATAAATATCAATAAGAACAAAATATATCTACATTTTATAAATTTACTTTTACAGTAACATTCTTTTATTCAAGAATGCTACATCTAAAAATCTTCATTTTATCTGTTATAATGTGTGCAGAATTCTCCATATTTTGGTGGTTATAAATTAGTACGAGTTGACTTTCATATGATTGTTTATGAAATATAATGTAACAGAAATCTGTTACGAACTGAGCCAACCTGAACCCTACATGGGTTAATCTAATTTGGTTTGAATTTTCAATAAGATGATCTTAAGTTTAGAAAGTTCAAGACCAATCTCCATCATACCCAACTAACAGCCAGCACATTCTTTAACATGAAAATCAAGGATGAAACAAACCTCTCCTCCACAGCAGGAATGAGACCACCCGTCAAAGCTACCCCACCAATCTAAAGCACAAAACCATGTTATTTCTTGGAACATTGAATGTTTATTATGGAATCCTTACAAAATCTACACCAGTAACCAAAACTCACCAATTGTATGCTACAAAACAATTTTCTCTGGAGGTCTATACGACCTGTAAAGATAATAACCAACAGTTAGATGGGACTCATAAAATATTCGATGATACACAGTGGAAGATATACACAAACCTACCAGTTGAAAGAATGCTACTTGTTACAGCTTCGGCAAGGCCAATCTTCTCTTCTCTTTTTGGCTTAGTTGCCAAAACTGGGTAGCTCTCCCACATTGGTAGACCAACATTAATGCCACCATATAAGCCATCTGATATGTCAGATCTTCTGGGAAATTCTGTATGCCATGTATCTTCCAGCATATCCTCATAGTCATTAAACCTGGACTCAAACCATTAGACAATATCAAATTAGAAATTTGCCACAAATAATTTATGGTGCAAAGAAGTGAATTTTAACAGATATTACTTACCATGAACGAGGTGGTGGAGGATACACATCTGGAACCAAAAGCTTTGGGTAGAACAAACCCATAGGAGGAACCTATTATTAAAAAAAAAAAAATCCGGATATGAGTTTGGGTTAGCCAAATATAAACTTTAAAAAAAGAACAAAAAAAAAGTTAGATAAAATTTCCTTTTTGAGAGAAATACATTTAAAGCACTTAGCCTTGTCTTATGAGATCCAGCTGGCATGCCATCCTCATATGAATGAACCACAGCAACAGCATCAATTTCCCCCTCCTATATGCAGGAAATAAAAGGTTGGGAAAAAAATAACTATAATTGCCTATTATGGATAAAAAAACACATACTTCCGAACAAGAGAAAAGTAGAAAGCTGTCAGTCAGATAAGAAAAATCCAAACTCACTTTAATCTCAAATTGGAAAAGAAAAGAAAACTCACTTTGATCTCACAATAGGACTCTTTCAGTTTATTAAGCATTAGCAGATCCATAGGCTTTGTCAAAATGTCAGTATGAATTTGTGGCCATGTATGATGATGCCTCTGAGTCCAGAGAAGGCATCTTGATATATCCTGAAAATATATGCTGACCACTTAACTAAATGAAATGAATTAAGTAATAATTATGAAATCACCAACACAATCAAATGAGGTTCACTTCAATGTGAGAGAAAATGTTAGAATGGCCATATTCAGCTAAAGTTAAATAATGAAGCAATGCTAACTTCAGTTCAAAGGATGAAGATTCAACAGCTAGTTCAAGTTTGGCCAAACAATGTAGTTACTAGTTAGTCAATATAGTAGGGGATAAATGCAACATTAATAGTAGCAGCAAGCAGTTGGAAAGATAAATAAGTCTTTCCGAGGACATCAAACAAGTAACACATGAAACATCAAAAGATATAAGAAAACATTACAAACAAAATGGTGGGAGGCTAGCATGGAAAAGAGCAATAATCCCTCAGGAATGCAGAAGATAACAATGCCATAAGAAATCGAGTATTACGAATAAGGAAACTTCTAACAATATGACTGCTTCAGAAATCCTTCTAACATCATCCATTAAACATTTTTGCCAAACAAAGTAAATCTTCCTAACCAGAATCTTTTTGCCATCAATCCTGTGTTGAACAATAAATGTATCACCACAAAAATTTTCCATCTCTTTGTTGAAGGTTCACATGTTGACTTTTCTGATTATCTAGCCCTTTGGTGTTTTCCCTCTTTCACTTTTCAAGCACATTATTTTTATCAGAAGTCATATGGGCAATTTCACAAAGGGAAGAGGCAATAATTACAGGGCTGTGCAAAACCGGGTACCTGAACCGGTTTTGCCATTTTAATCGGGTACCCGAAAACCGAACCAGTTTTTAGGATACCCGAATATTCGGGTTGATTTTCGGTTACCCGATTTATAACCCGAATTTTAAATGTTTAAATACTTAATTAAACTTTTAAAGGACAAAATCGTAAATTTAATTTTTACTTCTCCAATCTTCTTTTCTTCTTCGTCTTATTCACCTCCATGGCTCCACTTGACCATTTCTCTTTCATCATCAAATTTTTCCACCGACCCTTTTCTTTCTCTTCTTCTTCTCCCTTTCCTTTTCTCATTCTTTTTCGTCTTTTCCATTTCTTCTTCTCCCTTTGCTTTTCTCATTCTTCCCAGTCTTCTCCATTTCTTCTTCTCCCTTTGCTTTTCTTATTCTTTCCAATCTTCTCCATTTCTTCTCCTTCACTACTTTTCTCTTTCTTTTTCATCGTCTTCTCTTCTAGATCTTAATAATATTCAAGACCAAGAAACGTAATCTTAATATCCAGTAAGTAAACCCACATGCATGAGACAACATCACTAATTGAACTCATTTCTTTTAACTCAACATAACACAGAGTCAGTGAGTCACACTTTACAAAACACCAAAACCTTCACAAGCAACGACAAGACTATTAGAAACAACAATATACAATATCTGCTGCCCACGCAAAATAGCAAAGACAGAACCTGCATGAAGAATTGAAGAAGAAGACGCTGGAGAGATTTGCGTTTTAGGGTTAAATTAATTTGGGGCTTTTGTTATGAGTCAAACAAAAAAGGAAAAATTGTTTTATTTTTTATTTTTTTAATAAAACCGGGTATCGGGTAACTGATTTTATTTTTAATAAGACCCGATACCCGAACCAAAAATTCGGGTATCTCATGAATTACTATCCGAAATCGACCCGAATTTTTGGATACCCGAAAAATTCGGTTCGGTTAGCATGTTCGGTTCAGATAGCGGATAATTTTGCACAGCCCTAGCAATAAAGACATCGCCATATGGGCAGTTTCACAAAGGGAAGAGGCAAAAAAGACATTGCCATACCAATATTGTTCAAGAAGCAAAGAGATGCTTCAGGAGTGCTGAGCATACAACTCTGTCAATATCGCATGGCAATTCTTAAGAATGACTATTGAGCACCCATGCAATAAATCCAAATTAATAGAAAAGCATGAAACAAACCATAATAAAGAATGCACCGGCAGAATGAATGTCAAGATGAAGCAGGAGCGAGAAAGAGGGTATAAAATTAAAGAACAGGTTGAAGCAATAAGTGACAACATTGGAGAAACAAATATGGTCACAGATGATGTCAAACAGCAAATCAGGGTTCATGCAGTAGACATTAATAGTTAGACTAACCATAAAGATTAGCTGACTGAAAAGGATAAAGTAACTGGATATAAGAAATAAGATCTGGTGTTACAAAAACCACCCCAATACGTGGGTAACAATTTATTCCCCAAAAAACTTGCCACTTTAACATCTGTGAATAAAAATGGTATGATACTAAAAAAATTAATTCCATTAGTTCCTACATGGCACATATACTCAACCCGAAGGTGCAGTGCAACTTAGAAGCTGTGTAAAAGCAACTAACAAGCTTCAATGCACAATCTATACAAGATGGAAGTAAATGTCTAACTCAAAATTGCAAATATAAAACAACTATAAAAAGTGTAAGAGACTTTCATAAGTTTAGGTGATTTCCTCCTAAATTTATAGCTCATGCAAAAAATTTCAGTAATAAGTTGAAGGTAAACCAGAATTCACACCTCACCACCAAAAGGCAAAGTCTTTTCTGTATTAGGTAGAGCCACTCCATCCTGAACACCAAAAGAAACATTTAATAGATTAAGATACGAGTGAAACCCTAGCTCTCTTTATTTTGGCATTATCCAGCCGTGCTGCTATTCAGAGGAATCCAAAGGTGGGCAATTGCAATCTGTGGTTACCTCAACACAAATAACTGATGTCACCTCAGCACCCATATTTACAACACACGCTGTTGACAATCCATTTCCAAACACTGCAGCAAGACCTTCCTGGTAAAAGTAGTCCAGAATAAAATTGCCATATATGTAAGGACAGAAACAGGGACCACAGGAAAAATAAAAAATAAAAAATGTTAAGAATCATATCTACAAGTAAATGTTGAAATAAAAAATAAAAATAGAAAAAGGATCAATAGTGCAAACACATTGGTAAAAGAAAAATGTTATGCCAGCTGTGGCAGCATTCTTACGAATCATAATGGCACAGAGAAGAAAATATATGAAGTGTTTCAGATAATACTCTCTATAGCAAGCATTAGAAGTTGTTCATATGTTTAAAAATGAAAATTACTGGACACTGTTGAGTGTAACACACATACTTATCATGAATACGAAATAAACAATGTTATAACAATAGATTCATTTTCTGATATGTAAGCAATATATTAAATAAAACAAATAAGCTCCTGATACGATGCCCAAAATTGCACCAAACCCTTGTTGTGGACCCATTCTGATGTGAAATGGCTAATTGGACCATAGGATATGCTTGCAATATTGTAAAGCAATTTGATATCAAGATAAATCAATATAGTAGTCCAGTCAATAAAACACACTTATCAGACAAAAGAAAATCATACAGCCAGAAGAAAAATATTAGACTGCATATCTTCAACACACTCTAGCAAGTTCAAGTTTGATAAGATAATTACAAACTAGGATAAAGTATCATTCAAGACATTCAAACAGGGATAAAAAAATAATAATTTACAAGGTGGCATTGAATATTATTTTATAGAAAATTCTCACCTGGTGTACCACTGCTGTGCTAAAATGCAAATCTCGCAGCACAATAGAAAGCATTTCTTTTATTTCTGCACTTTACATATTAAGAATAAGATAATTAAAGAACCCTCATTAATAATCTATTCTAGTTACTTTTTCCTCTTTAGAAGGATGAATACATAAATTCATATAAATTAGTAAAACAAGCAAAGATGGATGAGAACCACAAGGGTGCAAGGAGTAGATCCATGCATTACGCAGGCAAGATGATTGCACATAAATCTATTACCAGGGTTCACATGTCAATCTGATCAAGCATGCAAAGGATAATTAAAGACACATTTGAAATCATGCAATGTGGAGATGCCAAAGCTTAAATATATAGTACAACTTCACAAGATTTCAGCTAGCTAAACCAGCTGGCATCTTTGAAACCAATTTATAGTGGTCAAAAAAGAAAGAATCACGTGACAATGTAATTTCACTGCAATGTGATTTTGATACATACCAATGTTACATAAAACTAATGATCATGATAAAAGTTTGAAGTTAAAACACGTTTGTTAATATACCAAGTTTTGCATCCGAAGTGATATGTAATTTTTTTAGAGATAAACATCAAGGACCACTTAAGCCACACGTATCACTAATATAATGCTGCATCACTTAGGATACAAAACTTGGGATACATAGCCTTATTCTTGTTAAATGCCAATGCAAGAAAGATCATAATTTTAAATCAGCTTGTTGTCTATTCTAAACAATTCAGGGCAGAGAAGACCAAGCTGATAGTTGTTTTTTTGTTTGACAACTAATATGTTTGAATTTGACTGAGAACTAAATTACTTTGAATATAAAATTTTGAACAATATTTTATATTTACTTTTTTAATGTTTGATGATAAGTGCTACAAAAAAATCTCAAAATTGGTGTTTTGACACATTTGCCCTTGTAAAGGATCATATTTTTATAATTTACAGGTTAAGAGCACTTGCAAATAATCAAATTGTGAAAATGAAAACAACACAAATATATATATAGTTTCAAAGTAATATTAAATCATTTAATTATTTTTGTATAAAATAAAAACCAATTTCTTGACTTTCCCCATTTACATGATTTATATAAAAGAAAAAATCATAAATGTCTGATTGACCAAACTTCAATTACATTCAGACTTAAGACAAAAAAAAAAACAAAACAAGACCTAAACTTGATACAGTTTACGTACAAAAAAACACATGCAAACATATATATAACTGAGGTAGCAAATATGAAAATAAGTAAAAGTGAGTTCTCCCATTACATATAAACATACCGAGAATTTAAATGAAGGAGAAAAATCACTACATTCCCATTTGAAGAAAAAACATCCACATAAAAATACCTCGATTATCAAATGTTTCTGGCATGACCAGAATAGCAGAATACAAATTTCTTTCTGAGTGCAGTATATGCAATTTTTCTACCAAAATCCAGTCCCAAATAGCAATCATGTCCTCAAGTACCTAGGCAATATATTATTAAGAGTTAAATAGTTCAACAATTACTAACCACTATAGTATAACAGCATAACAGCATCAGCATATGATAAATTTACATCTTAATGTGATGAAGCAATCCTTAGTAAGATGCAGACAAAAATTTGCTGCTTAAGAATAGCTGATGGAAAGGTCAACAGTTTACAGTAAATCTTATAAGAAAATATGTACTCTTTTCTCAAAAAGGATATTACATTAATAATAGTTGACAATCATATTCTCAGGCATGACAGAATAAAACATAAAGAAAGTACCTGCTGCACTGGATAATGTTGTGAAACGTTTAAGTGACCTCTACGAACAGGACGGTGTAAGCAATATGGCTCAGTGGGAGAGATTTTTAGAGCTTCCTCACCACAAATGAACTCTCTGAACTTACGTTCATTTAAATTGAGCTCTTTATTATCAGTACTTTCATGCTGGCCCATTGACTCATCAGTCATGCCTTCATTCACTGATGATAAACTTTCTGCATAATCAATTTACAAAGATATGTAAGTGTAAGAACAAAGTGATATAGCTTCTAGTACGAAAATATAAAGTGAAATACTATGATCTGATTGAACTACCATATACAATCATAATGGACACTGGTTAACTCAAATTGTGGGCCTTAATTATGAGTAGGAAAAAAAAGAAAAAAAAAAAAATTATATATATATATATATGGACGGCTTTGTAGCCCTCAGACATGCACAGAGGAATAAACAGCAGTAAGCTTCATATAGAGCTCAGCTTCAACAAGTGCGGGACAATAGATGCTGTACTAGGTCAAACTAACATCATAGCATCTCTGAGAAGGGGGTGATTAACTATTATGGAGTCTTTTTCTTTAGATTCTAAAACCATGACCTAATCCAACATTTCTTCTTCCCCACCCCCATAAAGCACAAAAATAAATAAATATCTGCAACTCATGAACTCAGAACCAGAAGATGGTGCAGTACCAGATCATTACTCATCATTTTCTCTCTGCTCAATGGCTGTAGACTGCATACTGCAATCAGTAACAGGTTTTCACCCAGGTCCAAGCATAGTTAAGCAAGAACAGTAATGGGTAAAAAATACTACTCATTTGGCAAAGAAAATTATCGGCATTTTTATAGCATATTAAAAACGCTAAAAAGAGGGTGCCAAAACTGTAGTAAACAGGAATTATACAAAAGGATAGGTGAAGGGGGAGAAAAAAAAAAAAGTTTAGAACAGAATCAAAAGATGCCGCAGTTGATTCAAAATTGTTTGCATAAATTTGTTATATGACTTGGTGCCATTTATCTTTTTATTCTACCTTTGATGTTAATAACATGAGCCCTAATTTATTTACTCAAACTACGGTGGTTTGGACTTATGAATGTCTAGCAATACATGTAAGGAACGCACTAGCAGTCCAACCAACAATCAAGAGCAAATAATGCAAAGAAAAATCTTAATCTCTTTAAATCAGCCCAGCACTCTTTCCCAAAGGTCACATCAGCAACATAAAGGTTAGAAATTCAAAAACAGATTTAATTGGCCTTGTAAAATGAAACATGAAAAGGAAATATATCAAATATGACAGAACACAATGGTTGTAATCAAACAAGGACAGAAAAAGGACAAAGAAAATGACTTTTTTTCTACCTTCTTCCACTGATGATGTAGATTCCTTTACATACACATTAGTCCAATTGAAGGCTGAATCCTTCCGGCTACTTTGCGGATTATATCCATCAACACGGCCCATCTGCACAAATTCCATCAAGTCATAACAAAATCATGTTGAACAAGCTCTATGTCCGTTTCATGATTTATTGAAAATATTTTTAACAAACTTGACAATTTGCAATTTTGCGTCCGGCACCTTCAGTGCCGGCAAAAAATATTTTACAACTTATTTCAGTTCCATAAAGCTTAAAAGAATTTTAGTAACAAAATTTCTCTAAACTTTTGTTGCAATAGTTTCCAATGATTACTACAAAACCATACATGACTAAGCTAATGTCCAAACTTCACTAGTAAGGATGATAATTTTGAGTAATATACATAATGTTTTCTTTAGACTTTATGAGTTTTTTTTCCCTCCTAAATCATTGTTTTGACTTACAATACCCAAGCACAAAGCCGATCTAATGATCTGAAGTATATAACTAGTCAGGACCTTAAACCTTGCATGATGGGCACAGTCCCCTATCATCACCTAAACGCAAGGATGAAATGTATGGAAAACATATGAGCTTTTGTAATCACACAATGATAAGAACAATCGTCAAACCCTGATAATCAAGGCACAATAGTCTTGCCATTACCCGATTTTGTACATCAAATATAGCACCTACATACGATATTATCTCCAGCATCTTAAACATGCTTCTGCATCTACCGAAATCTTTATGCATTTACAAAAATGTTGAACATACAATAAACAAATAATAAATGATATCATAGCAAGTAAGGAGAACCAAACCCCCCCCGAACTTAAATTGCACAAATCATTCAGCATACCTTCCGTGGATATGAATTATTAGCAACTTCTTCATCGATAAATGGTATCTTCAACAATGACGCAATCTAAAATTCAAACACAACAAGCATTTAACAAAAAACCACAATACCTTAAAAACACAATAACAAACCATACCAAACAAAACAAAACAAAGCAAAAACTCACTCACAGCATCATAAGCCTTATCCCGCTCCACGTACTGCGGCGTGGTAACCTGAGAATTAAGCATCTAAAAACACAAGCGAACAAACAACACAAAATTGATAAACACTCCCAAAATTAACCAAAACACTAACACACCTTTAAAATAAATTGAAATATTAACCAAAATTAGTGAACCTGATCTTTGACATTTAGTTTAGGGTTTTGACTAGTGCGGCGTGCAATGCAGTGAGGAAGATTAAAGGGAGAGTCCTGTTGGGCAAGGCCGATCCGAATATTAGCGGAACCTGGCCATGTTGTTAAACCAAAATTAAAAACTAAAAAGTGATTAACGGAGTAAAAGTTAATAAATTAAGGCGTGGTTAGATTACAACCAGGATTGATTACGACTAATTTGGCGCCCCGTTCGGTGACGAGTTGCGAAGGTACCACGGTTTTCAAGTAATCCTGACATGATTACACCAGAGTTTTGTTAAATTTGGGAGAGATAAAGAGAGTTATGAAATTTTTTGATGGTGTCTGGACGCTGCCATACCATGGTACTGTGAGCGATCAGTGGAACTGGAACAAGATGACTGATTTTTGCCGCTTCTTTCTTCTATGTTTCACTTGTTCCGATTATTATTTATTTATTTATTTTAACTTTTAACGGTCCGTTAGTATCAGAGAAATTATGTTTAACTCACAGCAAAATCGATTGAAAGTTAAAAACTGAAAGGGGGTGTTTGTCTAGTTTATAAACTCTAAAATTAGACTCATTTGTTTGTTTATAATTTTTTTGAGTTTATAAGTAAAAAAAAATAAGTTAGGGAGGAGGTACTTTTTTTTTTTTGGCTTATAAGCTAGTTTGACCAAATATATTATCACATTATCCTTGTTTAATTTTAAAATTCTATAGTATACCCTTATTTAATATAGTACTATTTTTAGTCATTTTATAATATAATGTATTTATAAGTCACATTTTATCAAATATGTTAACTATTTATCAGTCACTTATAAGTACTTTAATCAAACACGTAATTACTTAAAATTTTAAATGCTTATAACACTTATTGCTTATAAACTAATTTTTATAAGCTTAGAGAAACACCCTTAAATAAGTAAGAGTAAAGGACATTTTTTTACCCACCAAGATTTGGCGAATCTACAGTTTTGACCCGTGGTTTCATGAATCGCAAATTCTCACCCAATTTTAAACTATGTTAAGGTACATTTTTTTTTACCAGGTTTGACTAGTCAAATACCTTTTTCACCCCTTATCACAATAATTAGTAAATTAATAAATTACTTCTGAACCCTCAAATTAATAGAATTAAAAAATTAATCATCTTCTTTTCAAATTTATTTCAATAACAATCTCTTCTTCAACCTTCCTCTTCTCCACAGCAACTAGATCTGGCCGTTGGAATCTTCTCCATCTTTTTCTCTCTTCTTATCTCTTCTCTCTCTCTCTCTCTCCTTATCTCTTATTTGCCACTTTCTCCTTTTCTAATCTCCATGGTGGCCAGATCTAGCCGCCAGTGGTGTTGGTGGTGGTGGTAGTGGAGTTGGAGGCGGAGGCAGAGAGGAAGGGTTGGGTTATGAGGAAAATTTACGATGTGGAGGATTATTTTAAAATTTTACAAATTTGGGGGAGTGAGAGAGATTATGTTTACTATTTTTGGATAAAAAGACTTAAATACCCTTTTAACTGTTAAGTTTAACGTTTGAAAGTTAAAATTGGATGAGAATTTGCAATTTATGAATCCAGGGGTGGGAACTTGTAGATTCACCAATGGGTAAATGTGTTTTACTCAAATAAATATCAAGGTGACCCCAATGCAAGTGCAATGAGCCAAAAATAAAAAATAAAATAGGATCGGTTGATATGGGCTTGTTTGGTAGTTTATTTGAAATATGATATTTTGAAAAACTATTTTAAGTTGAGTTGAGTTGGATTAAATAGAATAAGATATGATTCTGACAATATGTTTGATATAATATTTAAAAATTATATCAGAGTTGGATAAAATGTTGAATATTATTTGGTAGATTTTTAGAAAAAAAAATTCTAAAAATATTGATATTATTTTAACCTCCTATATTTGTTAATTTAGTTAAACACTCCCACAATAAAACTTTAAAAATTAACAAAAATACCCCCACAATAAAACTTTAAAAATTAAAACACCCCCACAATAAAACTATAAAAATGAACAAAAAACACTCCCACAATGAAACTTTAAAAATTAACAAAAACACCCCCACAATAAAACTTTAAAAATTAACAAAAACACCCCCAAAAATGAAGTTGTCAACGATGACCAAAATCTGACCGTCGTCAATAGCCAAAATCTGGTAGCCGTCAATGGCCAAAATTTGGCTGTTGTCAACGGTAATTTAGTTGTCGACAACAACCAAAATTTGGCCGCCTTCAACGGCCAAATATCTAGTTGTAGATTTGGTCGGAAACAACAAAATCGATGCACAACCAGCCTGATCTGACTAATCATGCGTCGTTTCGATGTCGATGCCCAATGGTGGTTGCTAGCTGGGGTGCTTTAGCAATTTTTAAACTTTTATTATGGAAGGTGTTTATCTAAATTTACAAATATAGGGGTTAAAAATTCTAAATGTTTTGAATTGAATAGAATATGATGATATAATAAGATAATAAAAAACAAGTTCCCACTCTTTTCATTTTCAATAGAAAAAATCTTATTTGATTTGAATTAATTTTAAGAATAATGATCCCTTATGTAAACAAACATATATTCAGCTTTCTAACCCAAATAGAATAATAGAAAAATGATTCAAAAGAGTGAAACAAAGGAATAGTTTTTGAAAAGCCGGTATATAATATAACTCTATTGTAAAATGAAGGCTTGTAATACTTTTTAGATTTATCTGCTCGGACGTCTTAATTTGTTCATCTTTTAATTTGCATTACTCGACAGCATTTTTACAGTTCCACAAGTTTATGATTCATCTCTCTTTATTTTCCCATTGTAATCGCAAATAAATTTCCAATTTCAATAAAATACTCTAGATTTCAATCTACTTTAATTTGCTTAAAGTCTCCAAAAATGGTAAATAAAATAATAATTATTGATATTTATAGCTATATGCTAAATGTAATTATCTACAGAAGGAAAAAGCGATTTCAGAGCTTTAAATTGCTAATAAATTAGTAAAAAACACTTAAGCAAATATCAATGTAATAAAAATAAGCATTTGCCATAGAATTATCTTTTAAACAGAATCAGTATGAGCATCACCTGTCATGTACAGATCTCGAAGAATCTCGATCAGTAAACTTACTCTTTAGTTTTTAGAGATACCAGCCTGGATGGTGTTTTGAACATTTTTGGATCTTCACTTCATGATTATGAGTTATGACTCCTTAAAAACACACACAAGCTATAAAGGCTTCAAGACTTACTAACAAAATGTCTAAGATCTTAATCTACAAATAAAAAGCATGGCAGTTTATCATCCATGATCAGCGAAAATTGCAGTATGAAATCCTAATTGTGCTAAGAGCAATGAAATATGTTGCTATCCATTCACTTTCCAAAATGACAATATACCCTGTGAGCAGGGACTGTCAGCATAACAATCTCTAGAAAAGGAAAAGAATATAAAAATTTTGGGTCCTTGACTTGAAAAAACTCCAAAAAACAGTATCTGATGCTGCATTGACAGTGGTAACCCCAAGTTCTTGGGCATGCCCGAAAGAACAATCCCAACAGTGGAAAATAGCTTCTCTGGTGTACCTAACCTGTTTTTGCTTTCGGAGTCTTCTTCTTGAGTTGCCTCCTAGGAATTAAGTTCTTCATTCCTATGAAGAAAAGCAATGCACCAAAAAGTGCAATGTTCTGCCAGAAATACAAAAAATGAATTTAACATTCCAAAAAGTTGAATGCACAGAGATGCTGAAAAACACCATAAATTTGAATTTCATACAAACCTGCAAGAATTCATTTAAGAGAGGAACAAATTCAGGGTCCATCGGACCATAGTTGTAGAAATCAAACAGAAGTGGGGTGATAAGCACCAAGTGGACAAGCTGCAAAAATAGGGGACATTAGAGTTTGTTGACTGTTGGAAACAGCAGTAGTTACAAGGTGAAGTTCAGTTGTAACTTCATGTTCGGAGGTAATTAATTAGTGAACCAAAAGGAAGAAAATTCTCACCAGGAGAAAAGCTCCAAAGGTGTTGCCAATTACAAATAAAATACCTCCAATTCCTTTCAGAAAGATAGTAGTTGCAACAATATGTCTAACCTGTAAAAAATTACTTCTGAATCAGTTAAGCAAATTAACACAAAACAAGATGACATCAAGATCTAACTGGTCCTGCAGATTTAGAAAACCAGAAAAGTTGAATGTCAAAAAAATAAAAATTTGAAATTTAAAAAAAAAATGGGAGGAAAAATACTTACTTCTATATCAGGTATTCCTAACCCTAATGTTGAGGATAGGTGCTTCCTAGCAACGGCAAGTTTGGGTATCAACTCCTTTGCCGCAGGCCCACCATCAACCCCAAAATCATTAAACCTAAAACATGAGCATTTGTTGTAAGTTTTGAAAACGCAACATTAATATAGTGTACCCATCTCAGTAAGAAAGCTGTGCAAGAGTAAATCAACTGGAGATTGGCTTATCAAATGGAAACACCATTATATACTTGTACCACCCAACATTCATGTCAACAAGAAAAAAAAAGGGGAAAACCAAAAGTCCTCAAGCAAGGCAAAGTGTCATGCAATTTGAGACAAAAAATAGCATTATTTTCTTCTTTAAATTAAAGAATGTAAATCTACAGTTTTGCAGATAAAAAAAGTTAAATAAAAAATTTAGAAAATCAGAGAAGATTATCAAAGGGAATGTTTAAAAATAATAATAACCTCATCTATATCAGTAACTGGAATAAATTCCATATTCAGAGATCCATTACATGAAAATTCTGTCATTTTACAATCATTTTAAATCTAAAATCTTCCCATAATTCTATTGAATATGGAATAGATGGATCTCAAAAGATGATTCCCAACGAGAGCATTACAATCAAGGCAACAATCCAAAAAGCCAACTACAGTTGGATCATTATTCTTATTCTTCAAAAATGGTAATTGTCGAAAATTGCATACTTCAAACAATGAGGCAGGACTTTATCAGCTAAAAATTGTTGAATGGTACAAAGACAGCTCTAGTCAGAGGAATTTAGCCAACAAGAGCAACGTCCAAAGTTATATTGCAACAAGGTTGTAAGATATATATCATACCAATTCCATTTCCACTAGCCATGAAAGAATGTATTCCACATACAACTATTGATAACCAGCAACTATTACACGTGATATGCATTATAATAACACACAATTTCTCAGGATTCCTTTCACATTAAAGCTAAAGGAAGTGGATTCATCCATCAAGAAACTAATAAAATAATTCGGATAACTTTCCAAGTTCCAGCTTCACTACCTTGATAAGTAAATCTCAACCACCTTAACGTTAAAACGCACGGTTTCATAACAGTCACCGACCGTTAATTCCAAATATTTTACCAGTTTCACAATCACCGAGAACTTATGTAAATATTCAAATTATATCACAAAAATTAACAATTACCTCCCATATTTTATTTTTTTACCATCGCTAACTTAAACACTTCAATACTTCACCCAAAAAATTAAAAAAAAAAATTGTTTCACTGAATTTAAAATTCTCAGCAAGCACAACCCGCCAATCAAACAAAGGATTAATCAACACAAAAACAAATATCACAAAATCATATAACAAGACCAAACACTTAGCAGATCTAACATATTAAAACAATTAGAAAACGATTGCGAATTAAAAACATTACAAGTAGTTCATACTTGAGTAGATCTAAATAAAGAAAAGCACAAGAGAGAGAGAGAGAGAGAGCTTACATTTGCCAGGCGGAGAGAATGAAGAGAGAAGCGAAAAGGACTCGTCCGAGGAACGAAAAGAAACCCATTTGTGTCGTTTTTCACGGCAGAAAGTAAAGAGTGAATCTCGGGTCGGGTTTCTTTGTTCTCCTCGAAAGAGAGAACTGAGAAGTCGAGATTTAAATGGAGTTTCTTGTTTGCGGTTCAGTGTTCGGGGTTGGGTAGGGGATGTCTTAAATCGGTCATTTAATATAAAATATTAAAGAGACGAGAGAGAACATAACTAGTTTAGATGGACACGCAATTAGCTGATAGTTTTTAGGGGGCGTTTGGTTTAGGAATGTTAGATTACTGGGAATATTGAATTACTGGAAAGATAGATTACCTTGAAAGATTACTGGGAATCTTTAGAAAAATATGTTTGGTTAGTTGGTGGGTATGTTATATTAATATGTTTGGTTATGGGGAATAAATTGGTGGGTATGCTATTTAAATTACTAAATTGTCCCCCTTTTAAATATTAATATAAAATTATTTTTATTATTAATTTTTGAATAATTCTTTTAACCCCCAATATTTCAGATTTAGCTAAAACACCCCCGCTTATATAAAACTTTAATTTATGATGAAATCACCCCCACCTCCAGCCGCCACCGCGAACCACCGCCGGATGTGCCCGTGAGTACGTCACCGTGACCAAGAGGCTCCGCTATGGCCGTTTTTGGCCATATTGATGGCCGAAAACGGCCATATCGGGCCAGATCTGGCCCATCTGGCCGTTTTCGGCCATCAATATGGCCAAAAACGGCCATAGCGAAGCCTCCCGGAGCCTCCCACAGAATTTTCAGTGTTTTTAGGGACTCCGGAAATTTTCCGGCGGTGGTCCGTGGTGGTTGACCCGCTGTCGGCGGTGGTGGCTGGGTGGCTGTGGTGGTGGCTGCTTGGTGGCAGTGGTGGTCTGTAAATTATTTTAAATATAAGGGCATTATTGTCCAAAATTTTAATTAAATAAGGGTAAAATTGAAATAGGATATTAATGTAAATTTGTTTTAAAGTAGGGGTATTATTGTCCAAAATTTTTATTAATAAGGGATAAAATTGTAACAAAAAAAGATAACCCTGGTAATCTCAGAAAACCTAAGAAAATGGAGGTAATCAGATTACCTCTTATATTACCAATAGTAACTACTATTGGTATTTAAAGATTACTGATATCTTATATTACTTGACAACCAAACGTGGTAATCAAGTAATATAAGATGACATTACCCCAGTAATGCCACTTAACCCCGAACCAAACTGACCCTAAGGATATTCTTATTGCTGTGAACTTATTATTAGGTTTAATTTTTTATTTTTTTTAATTACCATCTCAGATTCATCCCACTTTGGTCTGCAACGCATACAAATATATGAAGTGATTTAGTCAACCCCAGTATATTTCATGAAATAACAAAGAGCACCCAATAGGATGAGTTTTGGGAAAACAAATATACTGAGCTTTCAATAATTTTAAAATTTAAAGCATGATAAAAGACAACTTCAATAGTAATTTATTTAATTTAACTTGCATTTTCCTTTATTTTATTATCATATAATTAGAGTTTTTTTAGATGGGAAAACAAATTCCCGACTCATTATGTCCCACTTGATTAGCGTATAATTTGCTCCGATTAATAAATTATATTCATATAAAATTAAGTACTATTTTAAAAGAGTTTTCGGTCCACCCAAAATAAATTTCTGGTTTCACCCTTGCACTTGCGGTTGTTGTGAGGCCAAATCTAGTCTCGTGCAATTGCCGAAAGAAAAAAAAAAAACGGAGCCTTACACAGCTGCTCAAGGCCATTCCCGCCCCTAGCAAACACCTTGAAGCCAGATTTTTGTTGTTTGATGAAATGAAAAAGTTTAGTGAAACGTGTCGGGTGACTTTGAAAAAAATTATAAGCTTGTTTATTTTTCTTTTAATATAAGGTTTTTTTTGTTAATAAGAGAAAATATAATAAGACTTGCTGGTAGTAGTTAAGTTGTTTATCTTATGTTGAAGGGTACTGATTTGAATCTAACAGATTGTTGTTGATGGATTTTTCCCGATGAGGGGTTAGGTTTAATTTAACACACTAACGGGTGATTATTGTTTATTTCCGCAAACATATGGGGTTGATATTATACCCACAATATACTATATACAAAATAAGTTTATATTCTAATTTATATGATATTATTATAGAAATATATATATAGATAATTACACATAATTTTTATTATTAAAGCAATGTCACATCATTTAGATACAAAACTTGTACACTATCGTTTCTGTCATTCCAACATTTCTTTTCTTTATTTCCTTAAAAAAATTCTTAACTAAAAATAAATTCAATTTATCATGTAAGCACTATCTTCACTTCTCTTATTATTTAAAATAAAATATACACTTCAAATGATAAAACTTGTTATATTGAATACATATTTTCTTGTGAATACAATTGAAATCAGTGAAATTTTTATGTATATATCTGTTAGTAATTAAAGACGTTTTATTGTTTATGGATTGTGTTTAGAAAAAAAAAAAAAAAAAATACTTGTTATATATAACTTGTAAAAATGCTTAATATATAATTATAAGTAGAGTGATATTTTATTTAGATTGCATAGTACAAATGCATATACAACTTACCTAAAGGTGACACATTTTAAAGTTATTGGAAAATGGTATCGTATTATACTTATATATCACATTTGTAAGTCGTTATAATGAACTAATAATCATTAACAATATTTTTTTAAAAATTATCATAGTTTATTTTCATAATAGAACTCTTATTAATAATCAAATGCTATTGAATACATTCCTAAGTTTGCTTCTAAGGTTGATAACATTATTATATATATATATATATATATTAGCTATCACGTTTTAGTCTAATAATTAGTTGTCAGGAACTTTGAATTCTACAAATATATTCTGTTGAACGAATCTTAAAATAAAGAAAAGAAAATTAAAGATGTATGTACATATGTCACTACTTGATTGATTAGGTTTTTAACAACTCTACTTAATTATGTGTTAAAATTAAATTTAAAGACCCTTTGGATTTCCAAAACAACCATTGATAGACAATTTATTCAGATAAAATTTATTATGAAAAATAAAGACAGTTTATTTAGAGTAAACTACTTTTCCCACGCAAGGTTTGCCTTAATGACACTTTTTCACCGAAAAAACTTTTAAAATATTATTTTCTCACCCAAAGTTAATATTTTGTTACTATTCAAAGCCAATTCCGACGATAAAAAATCTTTCTGTCATCACCATTTGAACTTCCAGTCTCCTCTCTACAAAACCTCTTTTATTTCGGTACCTGATTTCTCATTGATTGTCAACCACCGCAAAGTTAGAGTTTATTGTTTTTAACTGATTTCTAGCTGGTTCCAGCCTCTACTCTTATTCTGGCTTTTGGTAACTCACTGAATACCGGCTAAGAAAGTGAAGTGTATTTTAAATATTAACGAAATATAAACTGTGGGTGGAAGATTGATATTTTGAAACTTTATGGGCGAGAAATGTCATTAATGGGTGGGAAAATGTCGTTTACTCGGTTATTTAATCGACATAAAGCAGGCGATTTAGTCAGACCATTGCAAACATTGACTTATTCAATTGCTCATTAATAAATAAATAAGTACGTAAATTATTGTTGAGCAGCATCTCATTGATCTGCTTTAATGTTTGTGTTATGCTATGCAGATTTATGTGAGTTGTTGTCTTCACGTGATACCGCATCAATTTATCAACAAATGAGCTGTTACACCTCTCTTACCATTTTTGTTTGTGTTGATATAAATTAGAAGCCTTTCTAGTCCCAACCTTTCAAAAAGTAACAGTTTAGTCCTATTACTTGAATTAAGTTGATGGATGGAACACATATACCCCCACAATGCCTTATATATATATGAATGAATAGATTTATGATAGAAATATTATTTGATTTATTGTTGTTGATACGAAAACTCGTACCAACCAGTATGATTCAACTGACCTTGGTGGAATCGGAACAGGTGTGTGCACAACTTAATATAAATCAGTGATGATAATGTAAAAGTGCGATAAAGTAAAGAACACAAACAAATTTTAAAGTGGTTTGATAAGTTTCAAACTCAAGCCTACGTCCACTGTTTTCTTATTTGCTTTAGAGAGCTTACAAAAAAATATAAATTGCCTAAAAATATTTGCTAACCCCTCTCTCATAGTTTGAGGGGGTATTTATACTAGTTTTGATAAAATGAAAGAGAGATAAGATTGGGATTGCGATTAGATTTGATATGCAATCTCATGATCTTCGTGATTGAGCGTTGAGATTACGTTGTTAGCAGTGTTGATCTTATTCCTTTTGAAATATCCGAGATTGAAGCTTATCTTTGATTATGTCGAACAGATGTTAGAATTGGTCACTGTGACGAGCTTCAACTGGATCGAGCTTTGAATCGTACTGATTCTGGGTCGAACTACCTCTTTGCGAGCTTCTAAGATTTGAGAGCTTTTTGGCAAAATGTAATGAAAAATGCGATAAAGTATTATAAGGTGTTGATACGAAAACTCGTACCAACCAGAGAGATCCGATTAACGTTGACAGAATTGAAACCGATGTGTGTGTGATTTAATGTAAATCAACAATGTAATAAAAAATGCAATAAAGTAAAGAACACAAACAATTTTTAAAGTGGTTCGACAAGTTAAAACTTAAGCTTACGTTTACTATTCTTTTATTATCTTAGAGAGCTTACAAGAGAAATAAATAGAATGCCTAGAACAAATTGCTAACCCACCGCAGAAAACAAGATATGATGGGGTTTATATAGCACTCATTTACATTATATAGTTGAAGTAAGATTTAAATATGTAAGATTAGGAAGTTGCATGATCTTCGGCTACTTTAGTTAGAATCTAAGTCAATCTAAATATCTTCCTTTCAAACTGAGCCAATCTAAATATCTTCTTCCCTAATAGGGAATTATCCTCTCTGGATTCCCCGCACAATATATATATATATTTTTTCAAACCATTGTTAGTTTTTTTTTCTTTCACTATTCTAGTTTTCTATGCACACACACTTTCATATTATTACATTTTTTTCTTCTTCCTTCTATTAATAAACTATGAATGACTTCTCATGGTTAGAGATGACAATGGGTCGGGTTAGGATCGGGTACCCCTTGGCCCAGGCCTAGACCCGACCCTATGACCCTGACCCAAGCTCGACCTAGGCTTGTTGCGTGGATGTCGAGTGATACCCAGGGGCGGTCTAATGGGCTTTTTGTGACTCCCAGTCTGAGCTCATGCTAATTTCTATAATTTATTTTTTCATGGGTAATCTTTGATATATTTTTCTTTGTCATTCATATTAACTTAATTAATAGTATATCTTGCTTTAATCACTATATGCTTTGTGTGTATAGATTAATATGGTAGACAAAAGATTTTGGGTTTGACTAACTTCGCAATTGATTATTGTCATAAATTCATTTCAAAATCATAATCAAATCAAATAAAATTTTAATTTTTTTTAAGTGATAAAAAGTAAAAACTCGAGCTGGGTTGGGCTCGACAATGGTTGTCCCAGGCCCAACCTGTATCTAAGGGTAGGCCCTAAAACCATACCTAGGCCCGTGCCTATCCTCGCAAATAGCGGGTAATGCTTGACTTGTACGAGCTGGGTAGGGTACCTAGAAATCCGGGTACAATTGCCATCTCTACCCGTGGTAAAGTATTACATTACTATGACAGATAAGTTTAACTCAAGCAATCAATAATCCAAGATCATCACACACAAAAAGGGTAAACAAAACCCACAAGATGATCCGAGGACAGAAAATGGGGACTCAAAAGTCAACACTAGTAAAGAAGGCTTAACTCAAGCAATCACTCAAGAGAAGAAAGGATTTGATTTTCGCTTGCCAAATGAGCAAACTATGAAACCTTAGGGATTACTAACGCTTTATTCTCAATCATACATTTATTATTCTCCTCATTTTTTAACATTATTCTTGTCTTTAACGAGTTTGCTGCCTCATGGGACTAAAGTTTTATATTTTTTCTCAAGAGTCCAGAGATACTAACACTCAAAGGTTAAGAACCCGTATAAAATATAAACAAAGAATAAAGTAAAAAGAAATAAAGTAGTTTGAGTCTGCAATAGCCAGCTTGAATTGGGATCCAATGAGAACATGCATTGATCCAATTTGGAACATGCAACTGTTGATCCAATTAGAGCAGACTCTAAAGGCTAAATTGTCATTGGACATCTTGTGTTTTATTTAATTATTGAGATGTCTCCTTCCTTTAGCTATATCTTAGCAATAAGATTTTTATTAAAAAAATTGAAAGTTCAATGAATCACATATGTCGTGATACCTACTTGTTGACACGCTCCTACCACTTCTCTATAGGATTAGTAATGTCTAATCACACGTAAAATCATCGTCTTTTCTCATTGTCTTCGTGGGTCATTTCCTCGGGATTTTGTTCAATCTAACTATGCCCATATCTTCCATAAATGCTAAAATTTCATTTTCGTCTAAAATAGTGAGTAATAAAATCTAGGAGATAATTGATTATTGGTTCTTCTTTTTTTAAATAATCACGCTTCGCCTCCCATTGGAATTGTAGATTTATTTTGATAATATAAGGTTTTAATTTGTAAAAAATATTGTTTGCTTAAGGCAAGTCGCCAAATGCGTGGCATGACTCTGACCAAAGACCTTTTGAACATGGACTCTACGTTCAAATTTCAAACTCTCATTGGAAACAGACAACCACTAAAAGCCAAAAAATTCAAAGACAAGGGACACAACCGTAATCCCACAATAACAGGGTCATTTCCTATTTTTCCTTACAAAAAGTACTTTACCTGACCTCTCCAACACTCTCTCCCCTCTCCACGTCATTGCTTCTTCATTTCCCTCCAACTACGCCATTGGCTTACCGACGTGTTTCCCTCAAACATAGCACGTGACACGTAAACAAAGCGATTTTCTATTATTTTCATACACGCGGGAGTACGCGTATGATCGATGTCATCATTTTTCTCTCTCTTCATGTCTGTCTTTATAAAATCTCCGTCCCTTATTTCACTCCACCGTGTTTTGATTTTACAAAGTCGGGTTGGAATTGGATTCAGTCTGGCCCCCACTATTTTTTCCTAGTAACAGCAAAAACTCAAATATTTGTGTTCGGTCTTTGCCTGAAAATGGCTTTCGCTTCGTTTATTGGAAGAGTGATGTTCGCGTCGGTTTTTATTTTATCGGCATGGCAAGAGTAAAGCTCTAAAACACATCTTCAGATCTGCTTGTTTATTCAACTTTGCTTCATTTCTTGCTCTTTATTTCTTTTTTCTTTTTTAATTCTGTTTTTGTGTTTGTTTGTGAGTTTGAACTTTGAATGAGGGTTTGCTTTTCCGGGCGAAAGTTAGAAAAAGGAGGGAAAAATTTGAATTTTAGATACATAGAAGGTTAAACGTTATGGTTATGCTGCTTATCGTAGTGTATATCTGTTTGTTCTTCTTTGAAGCATTGGATCTGATAAATAGATTTTGAGGTGAAGAGTTTGCTCAATTTTTTTAGTAGATTCTTTATTACTATTGATCTTGAATTTGCTGTTGTAGTTTAGGAGTTTTAATTGGTAGAACCGTAAAGAGAGACGTCTGGTGACGGTTTTTTATTGGTTGTGAATGAATGGATTTGAGGATATCGCGTGATTGAGATTCATTTTGTCTGTATATAGATATATTAGTTAGATTCACTTGTTATGCTATTTCTTTTTTCCTTTAATGTTGAGGACTGGAGGTAGTGAAACATATTGTACGTAACAGTGTGTTAAGGAGTTGGTTTTCTGGCAATGCTGTGATCAGTGAGGTGGAACATATTATTGCAACCATGCCATGGAAATGCTTAGTGTAGTATCTTGTTTAATTCCATTAGGTGTTTTGTATTAAGTGGTACCTTATTTGCCGATTTGAAGTTAAACCATTTTTACAAAAACTGATATTTATGTGATGGGCATTGGTTGCACGTGTTGAAGTTCGTTTTTTATTGTTCTTGACAAGGAAATTGAAACTTCATTGAATTTGATTATCTAGGAAGGCTCAGCTTATTTGAATTGAGCCATGTATGATAATTGCGTTGTTTGTTTAAAATGTATTCCGTTGATGACAACGGTTGCCAGATTTAGAAAATTTTATTTGGTTGATGGCTTTTATATATTGATAATTAAATTTGTTTATTCACAAGTCTTAATGATTGTGTATTCAAAAATAGTAAATAACTTTATCCATGAGCAGTATAAAATATTTACAGGACAGTTAGGTGTTTATTTATTTTTTAACGACTTTATCTTGTGATCACAAAATTTAATAATACATAGTGATGATTATTAATTAGTTTATTACTGTTTTCTGCTTCCATCCCTGCTATGGCTTAAATAATGCTTGTGGCTCTGCCTTTGCTGAAGTTTGTTAATTATTGTTATTTGGCTTGTATCCTAGTCAGGTAGTTAAGTTAGTTAAAACATTTTGAGTTTTTCTTATTGTTTGTAAAACTAATCCAGCAGGTGTACTTTGTAACTAGAAATTTGATAAGAGTCTTCAATTTTAATAGCTTTATTGCTGTGTCAAATGTATGGAAACGCATTTGATACTGTAGACTTCATTTTTAAGTGAATGAGGGTTGACCTCATAGCTGAATGATGCTATTTACTTTTCCGTGGTATGTGATTGGTTAAAAGGTTGGTGTCATGGAAGAATCTCCACAGTTTTTTTCTCAGTATATTTATGTTTTCTTGAATACTCAGAATTTAGGATTTCATCAGTTTAAAATAAGATTATATGCAGTGTATCAAGTATAGGTTGCTGTATACCCATACTTGTCAGTTAGCTGTCTGAAATGCTTTTCATTTCTAATCAGAGCATCAGCTAGAGTTTTAACATTTGAGAACAATGTCACAGTGAAACTCATTTTTTGTTGCATGCTTATTTGCATCATGAAATCAATTTTTTATTGTCACTGGTGTTAATTTGGTGCAATTATGATTTTAAGTGCAGCAGATGATTATAAACTGCATGTGCAGTTGTTTCCCAATTCCATAACTTGTATGTTTGTAGCAATGCAGACTTTCAAGTTCTAATCATTGTTTTTTTAATGTTTTTTATTCATGCTTATAGGTTCAACGATTTTGGCATTGATGGTGGGCCTGCAGCAAAGTCATTGGAACCAAAGTTCAACATCTTCTCAAAGCACGTGTCAACTCACACTGGGTTGCAAGTTCCAGAAGTTGAAGTGTGTAACCCTTTAACTTCTTGAAACTTAACTATTGAGATATAATTTAGTGATTTTTCTGAAATATTGGTGTTTTCCTTTACAGATCAAGTATTTAGTTGCTGCTGCTATAGCATTGAAGGGTGTTGGGGGCCTTCTTTTCATCTTTGGAAGTTCTCTTGGAGCGTATCTTTTGGTTGGTATTGTAGTCTCTCTGGTTTTTAAAACTAGTAATGACTCAAATTAACTGCATTAACTCCATTTTTGTTTTGGGGCGCAGCTTCTGCATCAGGCTATTGCTACTCCTATTCTATATGACTTCTACAACTATGATGCTGACAAGAAGGAATTCGGTCAACTTTTTTCGAAGTTTACACAGGTTAGCAATTAAGATTTAATATGCTATAAGCTTCGTTGGTTCCCTCTTACCCCTCTTTTAAGCTTTCTTATGGTTTTTTTTGTCTAAATCAGGGCGTAGTTTTTAATCTGTTTCTGCTTTCTTTTTGCAGAGCTTGGCACTTTTTGGGGCTTTGCTTTTTTTCATTGGTATGAAGAACTCAATGCCGAGGAGACAACTCAGGAAAAAGGCTCTCAAAACCAAAACAGTTTAAAGAGTTATATGCAGTTATGCCTGGGTCTAGTTTCACAGTCGATATCTGACTCTGCCTGGATGTAGTCCACGATCTAGTTTTGTATGCTTCAATGTTTGTATCAGATTTTTTGGTTTTTGTTTTTAAAGATTAGGTAAAAATGTGGTTTACTTTCATTGAGGGTATGATATTGTTTATTACCAAGCCAATTGATTGTCATTGAACTGAATTTAGAGAGATTTGTCTTGGTTAATCATGGGAAGCAGATTTGACGAAGTCGACCTGATTTAATTGACTTATTTCAAAATTCGATGGAAACTCTGATAATGTATACACATGGGCAGTCACTTTCCGTCATACATTAGAAGAATATTTCAGTAGTCTGCATTGCAACTTCTCATGTCTCTTTCTGATCACAAGTGTGTCGCGTTCATGATAAAAGAGCTTTCTCTTTCTGCTCCAAATGTTTTACGTATGAAACAACCGTAAACAAAATTAGACTCCATACTTCTTTGCAAGTTTATTGAATCTGATCTCATTTAGCTCAGCTTGGTCATTTTCTTCGGTCTAGCTTTTATAATTATGTCTGAATAACGGACGGATATGAATTCTTGGATATATGACTTAAGAAGTTATGAGTTTGAGTTTTTCTTTAATTGTTAATAAAGATAATCATTGAAGTTTTTATCTAATTGATAGAGATTAATTGGGATAAATATAAGTTGATCCACTCAGATTATAAAAAAATAAAAAAAATTAGACAAAGAAAAGCTTAACATTATTGTCGTTATTGATCCTTTTTTAACCTCAAAAACAAATCCTGTGTAAAGTAAGGGACTGAAGAATGTGCATTTATTGTACTTATACGATCAAGTTAATGAGCATCTACCAGGAGGTATTTGTCTTTATCCCTGAAAGCTCAATGTAACAGTGTTGAAATGCCGCCCTTGCGCTCTTATCGGTTCCCTTTCACTATTGGTTTCAAGACACCGCTTCCTGTAAAATAAATTCTACCGAATTTGTTATCCAGAGAGGGTCTAAAAGGAAGAAAACAAAAGACCAGAGTCAGATATGTATGTCAGATGTGCCGCCTGCCGGTCGAGTAAGTGTTTATAAATTTATTTCAATGAAAGCAGTGTAAAGCTTGATAATGTACGTAGTTGAACAAGTCCAATATGCAATAATATAGGTGTGTTGCGTTGCAGCTCTATATAACTTTNCGATGGAAACTCTGATGATGTATACACATGGGCAGTCACATTCCGTCATACATTAGAAGAATATTTCAGTAGTCTGCATTGCAACTTCTCATATCTCTTTCTGATCACAAATGTGTCGCGTTCATGATAAAAGAGCTTTCTCTTTCTGCTCCAAATGTTTTACGTATGAAACAACCGTAAACAAAATTAGACTCCATACTTCTTTGCAAGTTTATTGAATCTGATCTCATTTAGCTCAGCTTGGTCATTTTCTTCGGTCTAGCTTTTATAATTATGTCTGAATAACGGACGGATATGAATTCTTGGATATATGACTTAAGAAGTTATGAGTTTGAGTTTTTCTTTAATTGTTAATAAAGATAATCATTGAAGTTTTTATCTAATTGATAGAGATTAATTGGGATAAATATAAGTTGATCCACTCAGATTATAAAAAAATAAAAAAAATTAGACAAAGAAAAGCTTAACATTATTGTCGTTATTGATCCTTTTTTAACCTCAAAAACAAATCCTGTGTAAAGTAAGGGACTGAAGAATGTGCATTTATTGTACTTATACGATCAAGTTAATGAGCATCTACCAGGAGGTATTTGTCTTTATCCCTGAAAGCTCAATGTAACAGTGTTGAAATGCCGCCCTTGCGCTCTTATCGGTTCCCTTTCACTATTGGTTTCAAGACACCGCTTCCTGTAAAATAAATTCTACCGAATTTGTTATCCACAGAGGGTTTAAAAGGAAGAAAACAAAAGACCAGAGTCAGATATGTATGTCAGATGTGCCGCCTGCCGGTCGAGTAAGTGTTTATAAATTTATTTCGATGAAAGCAGTGTAAAGCTTGATAATGTACGTAGTTGAACAAGTCCAATATGCAATAATATAGGTGTGTTGCGTTGCAGCTCTATATAACTTGCTTGCCGTCTTGGCCCATCAGCGCCTTCACAAATACTCATATCTTGGGTAGCTTATAGTTGCAAGCTAATAATGAAGATTGATGTCGAAGTTATCTCCAGAGAATCAATCACACCCTGTACTCCAATCCCTGAGCATCTCTGCCGTTACCAATTTTCTTTTCTTGATCAACTATCTCCGACCTTTTTTATGTCTACGATTTACTTCTACCATCTTGATGACAAACGTAGCCATAGTGAAATTTCAAACAGCCTAAAAAGCTCACTGTCCAAGATTCTAAATCATTACTACCCATTAACCGGATGCCTTGAAAACAACTATGTAGACTGCAACAATGCGTCAGTACTTTTCTTGGAGGCTCAAGTCGGTTGCCAACTTTCTCAAATTATCGAAGAACCACTACTTCCAAGTGAGTTCAACAAATTTCTCCCTAACGATCACAAGCAAGACGGTATCACAAATGTTGTCCTGGCCATCCAAACCAACTACTTTAACTGTGGCAGTGTTGCGATTGGTGTACTCATGTCGCACAAGATTGCAGATGCTTCATCAATGATCACATTTATGAAGGACTGGGCTGCTACTACTCGTGATGAAACTGACAATATTTGTCCACAGTTCGAGTCCGCCACTCTCTTTCCACCCAAGGATCTAGATGACATAACAAGCACAGTTAATGTTCCTCCTGAGGAGAACATCGTGTTGAAGAGGTTTGTGTTCAGTGGCTCCGTTCTGGCTACTCTCAAAGAAACATATGCTGACAACGGGATTCATCCAACCCGTGTTGAGGCCTTATCATCTTTTATATGGAGTCGTTTCACGGCTTCCACTAGAACAAAGATGGGGCTTGAGAGGCTTTGCATGTTGATTCATCCAGTGAATTTGCGGAAGAGAATGGATCAACCGCTGCCTGATGAGTCTTTTGGGAATATATCTGGACCTGCAGTGACAATGATCTCATCAGAATTTACTGGGGAAGAGTGTCATGGACTGGTTACAAAGTTCAGGGAGGCTAAAAGGAAACTGGACAAGGATTATATGAAAAAGCTACAAAATGGGGTATTCGAAGACTTTGGTTTAAGGGAAGGTCTTAATGAAAGATTGAATAGAGAAGATATGGTTCAATTCTGCTTTACAAGTTTATGTAGGTTTCCATTGTATGAAACTGACTTTGGTTGGGGAAGGCCTATCTGGGTAACTGTTGGTGGGTTGGCTTGTAGCAATTTGGCAATTCTATTTGACACCAAAGGTGGAGATGGAATAGAGGCATGGGTTCACTTGAAAGAGGAAGACATGGCCAAATTTGAAGCTGACGAGGAGCTACTCTCCTTTGTTTCTCCTGCCTCATTCAACTAATACATTCAGAATTCAACATATGTAATAATGTGTATTATTGTTTGAAATTATATGAAAATAATAAGATAATCCTGTGATAAAGAACATAGTTTTAGGAAATTAAATTTCACATCATAAAAATGAAATTTTGAATACAGGTTAAGAAAAGTAGCATTACTCTTCCATATTTATGTCAGCGTCAATGATCATTGAGCATGACAGGATGAATTAATTGTGAAATAAAAAACCACAGTTCTTGCTTAAATTGCTTATAGAGAACTGATAGATACTATCTCTATTTTGTTTAACAGTGGCATTCTCCAAAACTCAATTTTGTTCCACTTCATGATCATTTCATTTTGAGGAAGGCCCTCAGTTCACAGCTGGTTCAATTTATAGTCAATATTGAACCAAAACCTTATTATTATCATTAATTACAGTCCAACATATAACTAATGCAGCAGAATCACGAAGAAATGAATATATCATCTTAACCTCAAAGGGTTGGCTTGACGGTAAAAAAAGTTTACTCATTTTTTTGAGTTTTTGGATTCAAGTGTTGGGGTCACCTACCACAATAAGATTGTGGTTTACTAGTTTTTTGGGTTTGTAGGGTGTTTAATGGACCCTAAAAATTAGTTAAGGTACGCACAAACTAATCCAAACATCCGATTATATATATATAACCGCAAGTCCACTAATTTGGGCTGCAAAGCAGAATTTAGGACTGGAATTTATGCCTCGAAGATTACAGCTTTTGGTATGTTATAGAATTATACTAATGTGTCTGGTTGATTAAATCAGAGCATTAATGCCTGGCACTTTTCGGGGCTTAATTAGCTGTTTCTCATTGCTCTTCTCTTAGATTGCGTTTGGGACATCTCTTAATTATCAGTGTATTTGAGATCTATTGACTCACTGTCAATATAATTTTTTGTTTTTCAAGAATTCTCTTTTCACGTCCTCTCAGTTTTCTCTCATCTTCTCAATAACTTCCTATTTGAAATTCAATTTCAAAATAAATCCTATACAGCTGCAATTGCATGAGGTAGCTATTACACTATACTAGTGTGACCATTTATATATATTGCTTGTCTCCTACATCATCTTGCCAATAAGTCAGAAGTCAGGACTTATAATATCATATCAGAAAAATCAGTTCAATTATCAATGATTCATTAATTATCAACATATAAATTTATAATTACAAACACACATTTATATAATCAGTGGTGCAGATCAGCAATCAGCTATTTGGCCTATTTTACTTGTAGTTTACTTCTTGTAAGGAGCATTATACTATAATATCCAGAAACCCTCAACTTGATTCGATTAATTCAATAAAAACTCAACCACTGGTTGCATTCTCTCAAGTCCATTATCAATTCCCATCAAATTAACAACCTCCGTCCATATGATTAATGATTAATATACTAGGACAAAACTTAAATCCTTTAAATTGTATCTTAAAATTCACTTGAGTTTTTTTTTTTTCTTTTTTTTGACGACTGAGAATGTTTGGGCCAGTTTGCGCGTACCTCAACTAATTTTCTGAGACTTTGAAACTATCGGCTAGGTACGAGCTCCAGTACTTGACCCCTTATTAGGGGCTGCAGGGACTCGAACTCAAAAGACCATGTAAACTTAGATTCTCCTTTGCTTTTTTACGATTAGGTCACCCAATGGTGGATCTAGTGGCTAAATTAACTTGAGTTAAAAGATCAAAGTTAATTAGTTTTTGAGATCTTTCCTTTTTTTTTTTCATATCAAGAACTAGAAATCTTGATTTTCGAGGTATCATCCAAATCTACAACTCTGTTTGGTAAGTTTTTTAGAATAGCATTTTTGGAAAATAGGATAGGATTCTGAGAAGTTTTCGGTACAATTCCGAATAGCATTTTCTGAAAATGTTTAGATTATTTTTAATCTCTTAGGTTTGTTAATTTAATTAAACACTCCCACAATAAAAGTTTATAAATTGATAAAAACACCCCTACCCCACGTATTGTCGGTACCCGGCCATGACTGTTGGAAGGTGGCCAGAATCTGTCGGAATGGCACATGACCAGTTGAATTTTGGCTGTCGTGTGCCAATCTAGCCTTTTCCGTCCAGATCTGCGGCGGTAGATCTAGGACGATTTTTGCCATTTTCTAATCCCAGCGTTAAAAATCCATCTCTTGACCACCAATCATCTCACCGGTCTCCCACTTCCAAAACTCCTATGCTTCTTGACACCAATTGCTCGCTGGCTGTTGCCCCCCACCATTTAGGGTTTCACCATTTTGAAGACTTGGGGTTGAGATTTTTGAGTTTTTGATAGCTTTTTTTATTGTATTTTGATTGTAGAAGTAGTTTTGTTGTGTGTGTATTTGCATGATTGATTTCTGGTCACCGGTGCTCCCACGGCGGTGGCAACGACTATGGCTGGCGGCAAGGGTGGCTGTTGGCAGGTGATAGTGGCTTGAGTGGGTGAGGGTGTTTTTGTTAATTTTAAAACTTTTGTTGAGAGTGATAATTGTTAATGCTTTGAGTTGAATATAATATGATTGAATTTTGAAGAGAATTGAGAATATTAAAACAAATGTATACTTGGATATGCTTGAATATGATAATAGGATATGATAGTGGTATTTGAATGAAACAAACATAGCCTAAACATTATGTCGTATCTGTCATCTAGATATCTTTTGTTTGGTTTCGAGCTCCAAATATTGAGTTTGAACAAAAGTACAAAAAATTTTGAACTTATTTGATCCATGCATTTACATATTGGAGATTTTATAAGGGGAATCATCAAAACTTACAAACGAGAATATTTTGAAGAAGGTGCTACAAATCACAAGATTACTTGGTGGGTGCAATCGTATCAATCCCCAATAAAAAGAAACATTTTCTTAAAAGATATTGGTGTTTGATTATTGTGTTTCTTGTGGTCTCAAATGGTTACCTTTAAATTTTAGAAGTAGTAGCTCGTTGAATAAATCATATATTCAATACACGTATATTACAGCAAGTACGCGAATTATATATTATTAATAGAGAATATTCGTAATAGTCAACTTCAAATAAAAATTTCATGAAAGAGACTTTTTAATTTTTTATTTCTTAATATTAATTAGAAATAAGTGGAAAAAACGTGCTTTATAGTTTATAGTTAAGTTCTATATATATATATATATATATAATAGAGGTTCATTGTAATCTCTCAGTATTTATCTTTCAAACCTGCATATACAACAATTACAGTTTGATTGTTGTAATCATATATAGTTTTTTGATACGTAGCTTAAAGTTAATTTGGTAGCAAATAATGAATATCGATGTTGAAGTTGTCTCCAAAGAGAAGATCAAACCCTCTTTTCCAACTCCACATCACCTTCACCATTACCAATTCTCCTTTCCTGATCAACTATCTCCCTCTTTCCATATTCCTTTGATCTACTTCTACAATATCATTGATCACCAACTTAGCAACAATGATATTTTCAGCAACCTAAAATCATCTTTGTCAAAGGTTCTCTGTCATTATTATCCATTAGCCGGATGCCTCAAAGACAACTATGTACACTGCAACGATGATGGTGTGGTTTTCTTGAAGGCTCAAGTCAGTTGCCAGCTCTCACAATTCATCTAGGAACCAACTGCAAGTGATTTCAATAGATTCCTCCCTTACGATGATGGCCCCATAAATTTTGTCCTCGCCATTCAAATCAACTTCTTTAACTGTGGCAGTTTTGCGATTGGTGTACTCATGTCACACAAGATTGCAGATGCTTCATCAATGATCACCTTTATCAGGAACTGGGCTGCCACTGCTCGTGGTGAAAGTGCCAATTTTTGTCCACAGTTTGTGTCTGCCACTCTCTTTCCACCTAAAGATATAGGTGGGCTAACTGGCACAGTTAGTGTTCCTTCAGAGAAGAATATTGTGTTGAGGAGGTTTGTTTTCAGTGGGTCTATGATAGCTGCTCTCAGAGAAAAATATTCTGATGGTGGGATACATCCAACGCGTGTTGAGGTGTTATCATCTTTTATTTGGAGTCGTTTTGCTGCGTCCACCCAATTAAAGATTGGGGTTGAAAGACCTTGCTTGCTGGTTCATGCAGTGAATTTGCGAAAGAGGATGCACGAGCCACTACCTGATGATTCTTTTGGGAATATAGCTGGACCGTCAGCCGCTATCGTTTCAGAGGATTCAGAGTCGAAAGATTGTTATAGGCTAATCAGAAAGTTTAGAAATGCAATAAGCAAAATCAACAAGGATTATGTGATAAAACTACAAAATGGTGTGTTTGAAGACTTTGGTGTTTTGGAAAGCGATGACGAAACATTGAACAAAAGAGAGGTGGTTAAATTCTTTAACACTAGTTTATGTAGGTTTCCTGTATATGAAGCTGATTTTGGGTGGGGGAGGCCAATATGGGTGGCTTGGGGTGGTTTGCCTTACAGGAATGTATTTGTTTTAATGGACACCAAATGTGGAGATGGAATAGAGGCATGGATTCACTTGACAGAGGTAGACATGGCCAAATTTGAAGCTGACCATGACCTGCTTTCTTATCTTTCCCCAACCTCAAGCCGCTAAATATATTCCCATCCAAATACACAACTATAATGCATATATATGTAATATATATTTTTGCTTATTTGATATTTGTTATTTTATGTATCTGCTTCCAGTTTTCCTTGATGATGTCCTCTTCCAACACTTTTATCGTATTTGTGTACTTTACCGAAGCCTAAGTTATGTTCAAAATGGGATGGCTCTGAATGAGCATTCAATAGTCAGGCCACCCTTCAGCTCAGAGCAAACATGTAAAATGTTATTCATTACAGTCCACATTATCAATTCTTGCAAAGCTGAAGGATACATAGAAGATTTCTTATATAAAACTTCAGAGTTATATATATATATTTTTTTTATCTTTATACGTTCGAAAGTGATGAGCCATAAATCTTAATTTATAATATATGAGGATAAATTTGATATATATACACCTTAATTTGTATAGTAATTTAATTAATACAAGAGTTAGTATAAGATTTATTCTTTTTTGGCCGTTATATTAGGTAAGTAAAGATGCCACAACTTTTGCTTTGTCTCGAAGTGGGCTTGTAGTTTCGAAGTGGGCTTGTAGTTTCGAAGTGGGCAGCAATTGTTGTGTGTATATATATTCCCTCAATAGTAATTTAATTAATACAAGAGTTAGCGTAAGGTTTATTCTTTTTTGGCCGTTATATTAGTTAAGTAAAGATGCCACAACTTTTGCTTTGTCTCGAAGGGGGCTTGTAATTGACTTGTAGTTTCAAAGTGGGCGGCAGTTATTGTATAGTAGCATGTCAAAAGTATATTCATTAATAAAAAATATTCTCTTCCCATTATATTACTCGACTTAATGTAGTAATTAGCCTACGTAGGCTGCCACACAAGAGAGAAAATGGTGGTAACTAGCACAGGTAATGGGGCGCAGACCACATTAGAAATGAACTACGATCGAGCAAGTGAATTAAAAGCTTTTGATGACACGAAAGCTGGAGTTAAAGGACTTGTTGATGCTGGAATCGATAAAATTCCCCGAATATTTTATCATCCACACGACAACTTTAATGGTAATTCTAAGGTTTCTGGTGAGGATCAGTTTAGTTTTCCTATAATAGATCTTGAAGGACTTGATAAAGATCCAGTTCTACGGAAGAGTATTGTTGAAAGAGTCCGAAATGCATCGGAGGAGTGGGGATTCTTTCAGGTGATCAATCATGTGATTCCAGGGAGCGCTCTTAAAGAGATGATGGATGGCATACGCCAGTTTCATGAACAAGATACTGAGGTGAAAAAAGAATACTACACCCGTGATATGACCAAAAGGGTTGTCTATAATAGCAATTTTGATTTGTATTCTGGACCATCAACTAATTGGAGAGATACGATTTCTTGTATCATGGCTCCTCATCCTTCCAACCCAGAAGAGCTGCCAGCTGCTTGCAGGTTTTGTGATTTAATTGCAATTTATAATTAAGTTGTTATCTGGTTTCTTTCATGTCATGTGTCTAATATGGCATTTGTCACTTCCTATGCAAATTTGCAGAGATATAATGATGGAGTACTCCAAGCATGTAATGAAATTGGGATATTTACTGTTGGAGTTACTGTCTGAGGCTCTTGGGCTGAACCCAGATCACCTGAAAGAGATGGGTTGTGCTGAAGGGCTTGTATTTTATTGCCACTACTATCCGGCCTGCCCGCAGCCAGAATTAACTATGGGCACAACTAAGCACGCGGACAATGCCTTCCTTACTGTGCTTATGCAAGACCATATTGGTGGCCTCCAAGTTCATCATCAAAATCACTGGATTGATGTTCCCCCCAGTCCCGAGGCTTTAGTGGTTAACGTTGGAGATCTTCTACAGGCAAGTCTTTAGTTCTCAGTTTTTCCAGATATATCATGAATTGTTAAACTATTAATTCCGAATTGAAATTGATGTGGTTACATTTTTGTTTGATTTGGCAGCTTATAACGAATGATAAATTCATAAGCGTGGAGCATAGAGTGGTGGCAAACAGTGTAGGACCAAGATTATCAATGTCAAGCTTTTTCACCACAGATGAAGTCCCATGCTCGAGACTCTATGGACCTATACAGGAATTGTTATCGGAAGAGAATCCTCCAAAGTACAGGGAAACCACAGTGAGAGACTATGTTATTTACTTCAGGAAAAAAGGCCTTGATGGTACTTCTGCGCTGCTTCATTACAGGCTATGAACTTGGCAATGAAGATTTAAAAGAATATCCATAATCATCGTTAAGTTCAACTAATGGTTTTGTCAATCATTGTAAAAGATTGCCTTACCAAAGTACTTTAGGGAGTGATCTGCAATAGTAGTTTGCGGTTGGAATGACGAATTTCCTTTGGTCTAGTGATTGTTATTCCACGACACGAGAAAGATCAATGTTTGAGTTTCTAGGTCCTCCTCAGGGCCTCTTTTTGAAGCCCACTTCTATTCTTGGCAGATGCCCTAAGGCTCAACTTTCATGGGCCGAGTGGTGATTAGGTCTCTATTAACCGACTTTTGAGTGATTGAGACTGGCCTTATGGAGCTTTTACTCATCAAAATTAAATTTTTGATAATATAAATGCCAAGCATTTTACTTGAATGTCTTTTATATGCTTTGCAAAAAATTCAAAGAGTAAACGACTTTTCCCACTCAAATAATGATTTAATGGCACTCCCACTCACAGATTTTTATTTTTAAAATATCATTTTATTATCCAAATTTATATTCTATTTTCGATTTTGGCATTATTGCGACATCACACCATCACCATTCTCTTCTTTGATCATCATTCATCAAAACCCCTCAAACCTTATTATCGTCGATCCAATTAATCGTTGGTAATCGAGCAATTAGGGTTTTCGTAGCAGCCCCTCCCATATCAAATTCCAATCAATCCCAACCACTAAAACCTAACCTTCCACCAGAGGCGGACGCAACGATCCACCCTTAAATTTTTTTTATAAAAATAATATGTACAATTTCTAGATTTTGGCTTACCCTAACAAAAATATTAATAGAAAAAAAATTAATGTATAATTAGTTTTTATTTTGGCTCACCCTAACAGAAATTTTTGGATCCACCCTTGCCTTCCACCGCCGAAAGATTCATTAGCCTCCCCTCTTTAAAAGCTTAAACAGTCTATACCGAGTTTGTTCTTGTTATCGGAGTATAAATTTGGATAGTAAAATGGTATTTTAAAAGTCTATGAATGGAAAACTGATGTTAAGCCATTAATTTGGGTGGGAAAAATCCCTTAACTCAAATTCAAATGGTTAATTTAATTATCTGATCAAAGTCCACTCAAATTTGAAAACTGCTACAGGTTCAACGTTCTAGTAATCAAAGATCAAATTGTTTTATGGTATTAATTAGGAAATTGTTAAAGAACTTCCAAAAAGTTATTTTTTTTATCTGTTTTTTAATTTTATAACATGAATCAAATAAATTAAATGCTTTTGGGATAAAAAAATATTTAGAATTCATTTTCTTTAAAAAGAAGCACGTTATAGATTTTTTCTTCTTCTTTGTAATCCCAGACCACTGGTTCATAAGAATCATAACTAACATAAAAATTTTGGATCCAATCTATCTGAATTTTCTTATCTGAAATATCTTGAGACAGTTTATTTGTTATTATTTATGCTATACATTTATCAATATCGTCCTTATATTTATTTTTCCATTCAAAAAATGATGCCAGGATTATCAGAATTTTTCTTTTGGATTCATGACATTATTGCCCCAGTGGCAGCTCATGACGCTGACACCTGAATGATAAATCTGATTTTAGTCTTTGGCATTGCCGCATTAGTCAAAAAACGCTATCACTCATCCATTCACGACCTTAAGGGGCATATGGTAGCATCCATATCAAGTTTTTCATCCTCTCTCTTTACAATTACTTCTCTCAATAGTTAACTTCAGTACTCAGAATTGTAGGTCCTTACTCCTTACACACGAGCGAAAATGGTGACCACCATTGCAGATGAAGCTCAGGTGACAATTGAAACCAACTACGATCGAGCCAGCGAGTTAAAAGCTTTCGATGACTCAAAAGTTGGTGTTAAAGGACTCGTTGATGCTGGAATTGTCAAGATTCCGAGGATATTCTACAACCCGCCCGATAACTTCGAGAAGACTACTCAGGTTTCTAATGACACTGAATATAAGTTTCCAATTATTGATCTGGAAAGACTTGATAAAGATCCCACTCACCGCAAGGAGATTGTTGAAAGAGTTCGAAATGCTTCGGAGACGTTGGGGTTCTTTCAAGTTATCAATCATGGGATTCCAGAGAGCGTTCTGGAGGAGATGAAGGATGGGGCTCGCAGGTTTTTTGAGCAAGATTCTGAGGTGAAAAAACAATTTTACTCGCGTGATAATACCAGAAAGTTTATCTACAATAGCAATTTTGACTTATATACTGGACCAGCAACGAACTGGCGTGATACGATTGCTTGTTACATGGCTCCTCATCCTCCCAAGGCTGAAGAGTTACCAGCTGCTTGCAGGTATGTTATTTGTAATTTATAATTAGCTATTTACAGATTTTTTTACTCTTTAAGGGAAATTTATAGAATAAACAATTGAATCTTGATGGATTATTGGAAATTAAGCTGTCTTAACCGGGCTAAAGTCTGGCTAGAAAAAGTTTTGATTATCATTGGCATTGTTTCGTGTTGATCTGAGTGTCGATTTTTTTTTATTGGTACATAACAAAAATCTGTCATTAATCCTTGATTAATTATTACACATTTTCTGTGCAAAAATCTGTGCTAATTAATCACTACAATAATCTTATTTTGATTTTTGTACCGCTTAGAATGGAGAAATAATACTACATAAAAGGATTATTTCAAGTACATAACACTAATTTGTTACTGTATGGACTTTAATGTCCTGTTACCATCTTGCAGAGATATACTTATGGAGTACTCGAAGCAAGTAATGGGACTTGGCTATGTATTGTTCGAATTATTATCAGAGGCTCTTGGTTTGAAAACAAGTCACCTGAAAGACATGAATTGTGCTGAAGGGCTTTCATTACTTTGCCATTACTATCCGGCATGCCCACAGCCAGAATTAACAATCGGCACACGCAAGCACGCGGACTGTGACTTTTTCACTGTCCTTCTACAAGACCATATGGGTGGCCTCCAAGTTCTTCATCAAAATCAGTGGATTGACGTGCCCCCTACTCCTGGTGCTCTTGTGGTTAACATCGGAGATCTTCTGCAGGCATGTTGTTAATTTTCACCATTCATATATTTTGCATCGTTTGGAAAGAATTTGATCATCTTTTCACATTTGGCCTGGTGCAGTATAGCTATTTCAACAAATAATTTTTAATTTACGGTTATTAGCTATAGCTATGTTTTTCTCTGGTTTTTGCAGCTGATATCAAATGACAAATTCATAAGCGCAGAGCATAGAGTACTGGCGAACCGGGTAGGACCAAGAATATCAGTGGCAAGCTTTTTCAGCACATATCTGCAGTCACATTGCTCATCAAGACTTTATGGACCAATACCGGAGCTGTTATCAGAAGAGAATCCTCCTAAGTACAGGGAAACCACACTCAAAGACTATGGTACCTACTTCAAAGAAAAAGGCCTCGATGGGACTTCTGCGCTGCTTCGCTTCAGGCTGTTAACTTGGAAAGGAAGATTAAAGTAATCTTTTTACACTTAAAAACAAATGGTTTTTTTTTTTCTAAAGTACATAATTTGGCACTTCTGTGGAGTTGTTTAATATACTTGGGGAATAATGCATTGCCTATATACATATATCCTACTTGTAATCATGTTCAAAACTCTTATATGCTTTTGTAGTTTTTGTTGGGGGTGTGTGTGTTTCTGTTGTAGAAGGAATTATTCCTTCATAATTAATTTTAAGAGTTACACATTGGCAGTAGAGTTTCAATGTGACAAAGTAAGTTTTCTTATTCAGGTCTGGCCTGATGTTGCTGATATGTATCAGATGACAAATATATTAAAACTGACATAATCTAACTGTAGAGAATTTTTTGTGATAATCCTTACAATTAAGTCAAAACTTAAGGATATCATTAACATTATTTAATTTTGTTACCCTACATATTTTTTTTACTCAATAATGCAGTTGTGGTTGTAAAGCAAAGTTAGTTTATTTTATATTTGGTTTTGTTTGAAAATAAGTGCCCATCGCATTCATGATCTTGCAGAAGATCAAGCTTAGGATCTTAAACATTAGTTAAAGTCATTCAGATATTCACTCTACTGGAAAACTTTTAAGAAGTCAAATTAAAATTAAAATCTGGAGTCAGGAGGGACTAGTCCCTGTACGGTTCAATGACTTCATAACAATTAACAACAACATTATACATTATTGAGTAAACAACATGCTCCCACCCAAGGTTTAGCCAAATAGCAAGTTTCCATCTTTGGTTTATAAATTCTGATTCCCTCCCTCAAATTAACACCGTTAGTGATTTTTGGGTTTTGACACAGGATAAAGAGTGTTATTACCAAACTATCCTTAACAAATAAATTAATAAATTACTTGTTAACCCCCAAATTAGTAGGATTAGGAAAATAATCATCTTACTTTCAAATTTATTGTAATAACACCTTTTTCTTCAACCTTCACATCATCCTATCTCCAATCACTTAGTCACTATCATTGCCACTGCCACTGCCATTGCCACTACCACCACCACCTAGCCATTGCCGCCACCCAGGCATTGCCACCACCACCACCTAACCACTATCACCAAATTGATTCTATAGGTTCTCCACAACACATGCATTCAAATTCTTCTTCTTCTCAGTGGGCTAGGGTTTTTAACTATTTAGCTATAATACATTTACGATACAAAACACACAGCTCTAGAATTAATTAACCCTTCTCAATCTCTCTATTTCAGATTTAATACAATGCAAACGACCACTTTATCCTTTGATTGTTATATTAATGATTTTATGTTAATTTAAGGATGAGAATATGAAATTTATGAAGCTAGGGGTGGGAACTTGCCATTTCGCTAAACCTTGGGTGGGAACATGTTGTTTACTCTAAATTATTTAATGAAGCCCCGATAAAATAACAATCAAGTAGAAGAATAATTTATTAATCTGTAGAAATCAGGAGCTGCAAACATTTTCAATAGCTCCAGGTGTAGAAATAGAAATAATGGCAGTAGTAAATCAAGCCTGGCAACAAATCTATAATGATGTGGCATATGTTTTGTGCCTACGTGGAAGTCAATTTTTAAATACATTGGTCAAAGGTCATTTCTCATAAAGGCAGGGACTTTGGTGATAATTCCCAATTAGGGATTCTTGGTTAAACAAAATTGTAGCCTGTTTGATTCTTTTCTTTTTCATTCTCGATTGTTCTCTTTTGGTTAACAGAGAGAGAAAATTTGTTACAACGATGATTGAGCTAGAGTTGTGCAGATCGTTGGATGAAATCAAACGCTGATGGTAAGACTAGTTTGTTATCTCCTTTATTCCTTTCTGTGTATAAATGGTTGTTAATGTATTCTTTGCTGATGTATGAGAGGTAAGGAACTTTGGGTTATCTCGTGTCTATTACAGAGGGGTTTCTCTTGGGATCTTCATGTAAAGAGAGAGAGTTGTAAACTCTGTAAGCAACAAGGTTGCTTTCTTCATAGTGATTTTCTTTGCTGCCCTGAAGAGTGGATGTAGATAATCGTTTGATTATCGAACCACTATAAATTTGATGTGTTCTTTTGAGACATCTCACATCGCTTGAGAAGGAGAGGCTCGAGCTAGTTAAATACCAAGGGAACCCCCATAATAGTCAAGACACGTTTTGGGCTTGAGCAAGGGTTCTTGGGCCTGAAAACAAAACCATGAGGGGCTGGGCTTCAGAGTTGGACTACCTAGGCTACTAAAGCGGACAATATCTTGATTATGTTGGGTCGGCAGTGGGCCGGGGTGTTATAATTGGTATCAGAGCCAATCCCAATCGAAAATGTATGGATAGTCAAGAGATCTCGCTTTACCCCAAGAGGGTTCGTAGCGAGGACACTGAATCTTGAGAAAGGGGAGAGGGGGGGGGGGGGGGGGGGGGGGGGGGGGGGGGGGGGGGGGGGGGGGGGGGGGGGGGGGGGGGGGGGGGTGAGATCGATACAACCCACATTGCTTGGGAAGGAGAGGCTTGAGGTAGCTAAATACAGGGGAACCCCCTAATAGTCAAAACATGTTTTGGGCTTGAACAAGGGTTCTTAGGCTTGAAAACAAAATAGTGAAGGGCTGGGCTTCGGAGTCGTACGACCCAGGCTGCTAAAGCGGACAATATCTTGGCTGTGTTGGGCCGATAGTGGGTTGCAATGTTACACCTTTATTTTTATGTCTCTTTTATCTTGCAATTTTCTGTTTATTGTGAACACATGAATGTTAAGAAATTAGATTTCTTGTTCTTTAGAATTCACGGAATTTGTACGTTCAACAAGTGGTATCAGAGCGAAGTTAGGTCTGGTTTGTATTGATTGTTCGAATTTGGAACTTTCTAGGGTTAGATCTAAACTGTTTGATTACGGGTTTCATGTTTTAGGGTTTTTCTAAATCTTAAAATTTGGGGCTTTTCTTTTATTAGTAATTGTGAGGGTTGTAAACCTAGAAACATATACGTTTGAGGTAGAGAAGTTCATAGGTGATATGATTATGGGTTATATATGGAAGATGAAGATGAGGGCTGTTCTAGTAAAAGATGGGTTATCAACTACTTTAGAGAGTGAGGATAACTTACCATAGTCTTTAACTGAAAAAGGAGAAGAAAGATATTCTAGATAAAGCTCACAGTACCTTGATTATAGGTTTGGGGGACAAGGTTTTGAAAAAGGTTAAGAAAATGACCACACTAGCAGGGGTTTGAGAAAAGTTAGACTCCCTGTAGTTGTCCAAATCTTCTCCTAATAGGCTAGTTTTAAAACAAAATTTTTTTGGTTTTAAAATGGATGAAAATAAGTCATTAGGGGAAAACATGAATGATTTCATGAAACTGGTACAAGATTTAGAAGGTCTAAGTGTCAAGGTTGAAGATGAAGACCAAGCTGTTATTCTTATCAACTCACTATAAAAAATGTATGCAGATTTTGTGGATACCCTTAAATATGGTAGACAGACCCTTAAGATAGATGAAGTGGTAGTAGCCATTACTGCCAAAGATGCTGAGTGTAGGAAAGAGGGTAAGTTAGATGGTGAAGGGCTTAACGTAAAGGGCAAATCTGAAAAGAAAGTGTTTAAGAAAGGTCATCATAGGGGTAGATCTAAGTCAAAATCCAAGTTTGTAAGGAAGTGTTTCTACTGTCATAAAGAAGGGCATTTTAAGAGAGAGTATCCAGTAGGAAAAAAAAAACTAGGGGAAAAAGAATCTAGTGGAAGTGTAGATGTAGCATTTGATGGATCTGAAAGTTCTGATGTTTTGGTTGCTTCTGATAAGAAAACTGATTCTGAATGGATTCTAGACTCTGGATGTACTTTCCACATGACTCTAAATAAGAGTTTTTTTGATAAACTTTAAGAAGTTAGAATCTGAGAAAGTTTTGATGGGTTACAATGCTGTGTAATGTCTTAGGTATTGGAGATGTTAGGTTAAGCTTATATGATGGCAGCTCTAAAGTACTCACAGAGGTCAGGTTCATTCCGAGTTAAAAAGGAATTTTATTTCCTTGGGTAGTTTAGATTCAAATGAGTATAGTTATAAGGCTCAAGGTGGAGTTCTTAAGGTTACAAAAGGGTTTTAGTAGTGTTAAGAAGAATGTGTATAATGGGATCTGTCTGCAATCTTTACAAGTTTCAATTTAGTAATTAGGTGTGCTTTGTAATCTTTACAAGCAATGATGTTACTTCTGCAATTTGTAAAAGAGCAGCTAATACGTTGCATTTTGTAATAAGGGCAATATAAATTAGCCTGCCAGGTTGCTGTTTTGGTAGTTAATGAAAAATCAAGTTTCCAGAACTCTTTCTACTTTACTCTTTTGCTTTTCTTATTTGCGTTTTCTTTTTCTTTCTTTGGTGATTATGAAATTCTTCATGGTATTAGAGCCCTAGACACACGTCTATGGTAATTCTTTGCTTTGATTTAGAAAATTCTCACTCAAAATTAGTAAAAATGAACAATGAAAGTACAAATTTCAGTATTCCAAGTAATCCACTTACTCTATCTACCATTTATGTGAAACTCCTGGAAAGAAATTATTCATTTTGGAAGTCACAGATTCTACCAGCACTCACCTCACATGGAATTGAAGTATTCGTGACTGGAGAAAGGATGTGTCCACCGATGTTTACTCTTGAAAAGTCAGACGATCTTAGGCAGATAGTCAAGAAACCAAATCCAGATTACTTTGCATGGAAGAAGATTGATCAATTTTTGGTAAGTTGGCTTTATTCTACAATTTCAGAGACAATGTTTCGTCATGTAGCTAAATGTGTTACTGCTTATGAGATTTGGAATACTCTTGAATTACATTTTCAATATGCCTTTAAAGCTAGAACCCTACATCTTTGAAACATGTTACAAACTACCAAGAAAGATGTTAGCACTGTGAATGAATATGTGTTGCGAATGAAAGAATTAGGGGATGAGTTAATTGCTAGTGGTGTCAATTTAACTGATGAAGAGCTTCTATTGTATATCTTGGATGGCCTTGGGCTTGAATATGATGTGATAATGGCCAATTTAGTCTCAACCAGTAGTCAAACCACACTACAGGAGGCACAATTTTTGCTTCACAAACATGAAATTAGATTAGAAAAGCAACATGCATCCTTTACTAATTTTCATGAGGCTCTT